ACTTAGCGGATTAAAAAGCCTAAATTCTTATTTAAAATTATAAATAAAGCTATTTCGGTTTCAAGATTTATATTAATTAAAGGGATATTATTAAAAGTAAACTTATTATTACTTTTATAAACCTTTATTACGGCTAACAAATCGTCAGTAAAAACGAGGCTATTTAGCCTTATTTAATTAAATACGAGCGTTAAATTACGATTAATTAACTATAGTTAATACGGCTTTAATCCTTTTTTTTTTATAAGTTATAAAAATCTAAGCTTAGAAACGGCTAGCGTATAATAACTAACCGATTTATATAAGATCTTTTTTAAAAAAAGGAAGTACTTAAAGGGAAAGTATAAAGTTTTATAAAAGACTTTAACTATATTTTATATTAATTATAAAAAGATTAAGATCTAAAACTATTAATATTATTTAGCGATTATTATCGTTCTTATTAAAAAAGCTAAAGAATATTATTATTAAGTTATATATATAATAGTCGATTAAAACGACTTTATCGCGATCGTTAACACCTTTTAAAACCGTTTTAAAATTAATAATTAGAAAAAAAGGCTTTTTATTAAACTTAAAACTTTATTATTTAGATCGGTAATAAGAAAAATAAAGAGTAAACCGAGGATAAAGATTTTTAAAAAGCTTATTTTATAAATTAATAAAATTAATAAAACCTTATTAATAAAAGGAATTAACGAACGGAAAATTAATTATTTATTAACTATAGTTTAATAAGTTAACAAGATAAGATTTATTTTATAAAGCTAAGTTAACGAATATAAAACGCTTTATACTTAATTTAAAACTAAGTTTAATATCGAAACTAGGATATTTAAATAGTAATAATTTTTAATTAACGAAAAACCGTATTAATAATATTAAATTAACCGTATTTATAACGATAAAAGAAAAAAAACTAAATACGGCGCCCGATCGTAAAGTTAAAATAAAAAAACAGCTCCGGACGGCCTTTAAAAACCTCTTACGGCAGGGTTCTACGGACTTTAAAAATACTATATATATTAAAAAAAAAGCTATTAGTTTAATAATTATTTAAAAAAAAAAAACCGAAATATATAAGCGATATAAAAAGGCAAAAAGAACTACCGGTAAAACTAACCTAACTAAATATAATTAATTCTTTATCGATTACAAAAGTAAATCGCCTAAGATTATAAACTTTATTATAAAATTTAAAAATATAAAAAATTTAACCGCTTATTTAATCGATAACGACGAAGATCTAAACGTTCTAAATAAGACTTAATAATTTTATTTTATTTTATTAGTAATTAGCTATTTAACATTTAATAAAAAGTAAATTATAAAAGCTTTAAATAAGCAGGCTTTCCTCTACGGCTAGCTACGATTTATTAATAAAAAAATTACTTAACTTTAAAACTCTTTAATTTAATCCGGGGTAAAAACCTTTTATTTTTAATCTTAAATAAACAAAAAAAAAAGTAATTTTAAAAAAAAAAATAAGTTTAATAATAGCGTTAAAACCTTTTTTATATAATTTAACTAACTAAATAAAAAGGATTATATAGACTTATTTCATTAATAATTAATACGGATTAAAAACTTTTTAAAAGATTATTTTAAATATAAGAGTTTTAAAATAATTAACGGGGAGAGAAAAGTAGTTTTAAATTTTAAAAAAAATCTATCTAACCGAACTTAATACCGCCAAGGCCGGTATTGTTAAAATTACGTTTAGACCTAGCGAATAGATCATTAGGATCGGAATAATTAATATTTAAACTTAATTCGATACTATAACCTTTTATATATTACCTATTAATACGCCCTTTTTTTTATATTTAATAAATATAAATCGCCTCGGTATTATATTTAAAAACTTTACGAATAAGATTATTAATAGTAAAGCGTTTAAAACCGTTAAACGACGATAAAGCTACGTTTTTATAAAGCTTAAGACCGGTATTTTATTAATTTATTACTTTATAAAAACTAAATTACGGCGCTTTTATCGGAAGTTTAATTATTTATTAGTTTAAAAACTTTATATTTTATTTAAATAATTAAATAACGATATTAAAATCGCGGTAATAAAATATTTAATTAAATTCTATTATTAATATTAAATAAACGCACAGAGCTTATAACGATTTAAATTTAAAATCTATAATAAATTTAATTTTAATTAAAAGATAATTATAAACGTTTTTTATTTAAATAGCCGGCTAATTCTTTATATAATCGATTTAATTACTTTTTTTTAAATAAGGCAGTTCTTTACCGATTTTTAAGTAAAAACGGTTTAGGTAATATTAAAAACGTAATAAATCGATACGTACTAAGGCCTACTTAATAATATACGAATTAATACCGGAACTAGCTTTAAATCTACCGAATTTAAAAAAAACGCTAGATTATATAAGATCGAATTAAGAATAGTATTAGTTAAGGCTTATTATAATATTAATAAGATCGAACGAGCCTATTAATAATTAAAAAAAGCGTTTAAAATTATTAAAAATAAAAGCCCAGATCTTATAAACGACGACTATTTATAAATAATGTTAAAATATTATAACAATATTACCGGACTATAAAATTTAATTTTAATACTTTTAATATTTAAATCGTATTTTAAAACTATTATTTTATTATCGCCGTCGCTTAATATTATTTAAAAAGCGTAAATAATTAAGAAAGTAATACGAGCTTTATAAGATTTAAAAATAAGAAAGTAAATTAATAAAGCCTTAGCGGTACGTAATAAGCCTAATATATTATAAAATCTTAATATCTTATTAAATTTAAATATACGGGTTTAGAAAGATATCGTAAATAAATAAACCGGATTATATAAACTAGTCTTTATTAACGAGCGCTTTTATATAATTATAAAAAATTAAAACTAATTATTTAAAATCGTAATAACGGCGATCCGATTATATAATTAAATAAACGAAAAGATAATTTATAAGGAAAAAAGAGAAGAGCTAAGGGAGGTCGAATAGTTACTTCTTATTTAAAAAGGCGAAGACTAAATCGACTAATTAAAGATCGTTTTTAACGAGATCGTTATAGTTAATAAATTAGATAATTAATTACTAAATCCGCCGTAACGGCGGTAAGGTCGGCTTTAAAAGAACTTAATTCCGTAGCTTTTTAATTATAACGGATTAATTAACGATTATATTAATATTTTCTATTTAACTAAAGAGAAAATAGACTTCGAATTAGCTTTTAAATTATAAAAAAAAAGGATTATTACTGTAAAAAATAAGCCTTACGAGGCTTTAAATATTATCGAAATAGAAACCTTATAAAATTAAAGCGTATATCGCTTTATTTTATACGATCTAAATAAACACGCTAATTTATAGATCTTTAAATTATATATAATTTAAAAAATTAAAAATAAAGGAATTAATACGCCGTATAAGAAATTTTATTACGTAATCTAAGGATATAACGACGTTAAGAAAGTAGAATTATTTATATAATCGCCGACGGTTTAAAAAAGTAGCTAACGGTTAATATTAACTTTAATCCCTTCCTTTATTAAAAACGGATATTATATATAAAATAAAGATATTACGTAAGCGTATATATAATCCGCTATTAGTTTAACATAGAAGATCTTTATTTACTTCCCAAAAAAGATAATTAATAAGTATTTAAAAGGTACGATTATTAAAATATTTAAATTATTATATAAGCTAGTAAAATCGGGAACCTATTAATAAGCGACCTACTACGATTTTTATATTAAATAGTTAGGTATAATTACGTTAATTTATAATTTATATTTATTAATCTTTAATTATTTAAAAAGACTTTATAAGATCGTTAGTATATAAACCGATAATACACTAAGCGTATTTAATATCGAATTTATATAAAAAAAAGATAAAAAGCTTAAAAAGGCCGGATTTATTATTAAACTAAAAGAAATCCTTACTATTAACTATTTATTAATATTTAACGGAAAGATCCTTACGATTAAAAACGATACCGTCGTTTTTTATTAAAAAGGGTAAGATAAAAAGATTACCCTCGTTAACTTTATATTACGTAACCGGTAAAAGAGATATTAAATAGAATAAGTAAAAAGATCGTATATCGTTAATATTTATTAATTTAAAATAACGTTTAATACTATAAGAATAATATAAGTTATAAATCTAAATAAAAAAAACATTACCGCGCTAAATAAATAGCTAAGCTAATAAATAATAAACCTAAATTATAAGCTAACCTATTATCCACTAAATTTAGCCTCTACTAAGCTCTACGTCTTTATTAATAAATCGTTCGTAAATAACGTAAATTTAACCTCTTAATTTAAATATATTATTATCTTAATAAACGAGGTTATAAGAGATAACGAATTCATAATATATAATAATATCGTTTATTATTTATTAATTAAAAATAAAAAAGTAATTAAAAGCGTTCTAGCCTTAAAAATCTATAAGATAGTTAACGACGTCGACCTTGCCTACGCGATCTTTATTATATTTAAATAAATTACGGATCGATTAATTTTATTTACGATATTAACGATTATTTATATAAATTCTTATTTATTATATAAATACCTTATTAAATTAAATATTATTAAAAAAAAAAGGCTAATAATAAATATTATAGCCTTACAGTAATTATATAAGCGACGTAAGATTCTTAAGATCTATTAGATTAATAGCGAAGATAATTTAGTAAACGCTTTTATTAAATAAAACCTAAACTTAAGCCTAAAACGATTTATTAATAATAAAATAATTACGATATATATAAAAGGATAGGTTATACGGAAGGGGCTTAAGAAAGAAGCGGAAAAGGAATTATAAATATTATTTCTATCGGCGTATTATATATTATTACGAAATTATTAAATTACCTTTTTAATCGTACGAGATTAATAATAAAAAAAAAATAATTAGTATCGGATTAGAAGCCTAATTCGACCTCGAGTCAGCGCCAGCGCAGGGGCCATCTGAGGGTCTCTATATTAGCGTTTAACCGGCGATCCAACTAACGGGTGGAACCTCTCTTTTCCACTTCACGTAGAGATCAATACAAGAGTAATTGACCCTTCGTCACCACGGTTCGATCGAACAAATCACCCTGTGATTACGTAAACCAACAGTGATATATGGTGTCACTTCGTCCCCCTCTGTATGAAGGAGTATGTTATCTGGTTTGATATCTTTATGTTTGATGGAGAGTCCATGGAGGTAAGCAAGGGCTTCTGTGAGCCTCAACATGATGTCGTAAACGCGTCTGTCTGAGATCGGCTGGTCTGGCTTGAACCAGGGGAAATGCTCCTTCCTCTTGGTACTGGAGGTATAAAGAAACTCGTGAAGCGTAACGGGAGCCCATGGTGACATAACAATATTGATGGTGTGTGGCTCATCAACGACCTCGTAGGCATCGACTAGCGTGACAATGTTGGGGTGACAGCAGATCTCCAGAACACCTAGCTCATTGAGAACAGCCTTGCGTTCTTTGCCAGAGAAGAGATTGCGGTAGGTTTTCTCAGCATAAGACTTTCTGGTAATCTTTTCGTGAACCTTTCGAACGATTCCAAAGCTCCCCGCGCATGCATTGACCGACGGATCGATGACATATGGTATGTCACCCCGAGTGGGATAGGTGTGCACGTATCTTGGTGAAAAGGTGTGGAAGGTTTTCTGAAGACAGGTACTTATCACCTCGCTGTTACCTATGTTAGCTTAACGCCCAACTTATGGAAAGATAGCCGAAATAGGTATCACAAACTTGATTTCTATAGCCGTGTTTGGGGTTATGCAGGGGTGCGACTGATCTAAGCCCCAGTAACAATTCTGAGTAGCAAGAGGCCCGAACCAAGGGCTAAGGGCTCTCAGGACTTCCTGGCCCAGCCGAGCTCTGGAAGCGTCGTCGGAATTGCGTGTGCGGCCTCCCAAGACGAAGAATAAGGCGTTAAGTGCACCCTCATCTCCTGCAGGCTCGAAATTGTTGCTATAACTGAGGATGCTCAGGGCGAGTTCAATACAGTGGTAAACTCGGTTGGCAGCCTCTAGCACGCTAAGAGGCCAGCAATATTGATCTTCCGGCTCGGTAGCCGAACCTATCGGGTGGCTTATACAGTTGATTTCATGCTCGAAAGCTCGAGTCGTGGTAGTAAGCTCCCGAATGAGCTCTTGTGCGAGTGTGATGAGAGGTTTTGATGTCAACTTCCCGGCCCACGCCTCGAGGCGTGCGCAGATATTGGAGCAGAGACGTAACCAGTCGAAGAGGTCGGCAGAACAGGTATCATTGGCCTGGTCCATGTCGTTGGGAGAGTGAGTCATGTGTCTTTGAGAACGCCTTTGGGAGGGTTGCCTCGCGCCTGGAACCCAGGCCTACGCTATGAAAGTGGTCCGCCGAACCGAAGTTCGCAAAATCACATATTCTAACTATCCTTAGCTCCATTTTGCCATAGTTGTGGGACATGCGGAGGGCTACAACCCCACTTCTGATGGTTTTCCTGGCGCCCTGGCGCCCTCGAACAAGGGTTTTTACCAATATTATTTCATTTCCGATCCACAACGAATCTGGCCAACGAGGACACAAATCCACCTTGGATTCAACTTAGCTTAGGCTACTACTGAGTACGTACTTCACATTTAGTTTTGGTCTGTTCAGGCTAAAGTATCAACCGCTCAGCTCTAAATATGGAAAGGAAGTTCCGGATATCTGTCGAGCGGTCGTGTTTAACGTATTGTAGTGGGCTGAAGTCACTGCAAATGAGTATCGCGATCATTAAAGCAGTGTAGGTATGACGCATCTCACGAAGAAGCTTCAACACAATGCCTCTCATAATCGTTCCAACAAGTTGCGTCATTCTCCTAAGGTTCCATTCTTCAAGTCTTCGTGTCAATTTTTCCAATGAATTTTCTGAAAAGCTACACATCCTCACTTACCTGGGCAAATTTACTGGAAGTTGATCTCGGTCCTTTAGAATGCTCCAAGGCCCATCAGATCCATTTCTCGAGATTTTGAGCCTACAGCGGTTGTGTGCCTCTTAGGAATGCCGTCCTTGACCAGGGCCATTGCTTGCTGCTGTAGGATAGAGTTTAAATTCTTGGGTACGTTTTTGTTGCAATTACTTGAGGAGCTGTCCAGTCTATTCTTCTCTTGCTACACTCTACAGGGGCTTGACCGGATTATAGGGTCTGAAAACGCTTCCGAGGTGGTGACGCAGCACTTGGTAATAACAAGTTTTGCCTTCAGGAATCACAAGAATCAATGATTGAAGGGGGGTGTAGATTATAGTCAAGCTTTGCCATCCAATATGAGACAACTCAGCTTGGAACTTTGCTCTTCGTCTCCAAGGGGGGCTATTTTGCCTCAAGATGTGACTTATCCCTGATGGGGAATCCACCTCCTTCAGGATCTGTGGAAAATTTCCCAAGAATTTCTTCCTTCTCTTATCAAATCTAGCATTGCATTTGGTACATGTACGCTAGCCCAAGGTAGTCTGTTTAAAGGTCGCAAATACGATACCAACCTTGGTGGGTATAGCATGTACTCAGCCGCCAGCTGCAGCAAGGTGCCTCCTCCGTGTACAGGGGCCGTATGCCATTGTGCGACTACCCGTTATCTAAAACCTGTCTCTTCCGTATATGTTTTAGCGCACGACCCCTGATCCGCCTCGTGACAGTTGAAACTCCATAATGCGTGCGAAATGATGCTGGCTACATGACGGTAGGTGACCATGATGCGTTGCAAAATCCCTTCGCTCTGGCTCATTTTAGATATGGTTCGAATCATTTTGTTGGTATAAAATTCCTTCTATACTTGATGATATCGATAAAGTGCGCAAAAGCTTTTTCATTTGGTATTGTATCTATGCCGAAAGAAGTTCTTGGCTAGCAGCTACTACCAGCACCAGCAATCATAGTCCTTGTTCTCTTTGCTTTTCAGCATTCAGTCCAAAAAGCAAGATCCACAGAACATGGCACTTGCTACCTGCAATGAACCGGTTTCAACCCTTACTAGATGTTACTCGGTCGTCACTTTCGCAAGTTTGGCTTCCTCTGATAGTGCACTGTCTTAAAACTCACGTGATTCGGGGCCGCACAGAAGCGGTCGCAATCTTTCCAAGCCTCTAGCATTGACCTGACCTATCCTGGGTGGGCGGGAGCCAGGACTGGCTTCCTGATCATGGCTCACTTACCAAAGACACGGTGCGGCAGTATATCTCAGCTACGGCGGGTGATATGAAGAAAAAGACACCGAGGAGGGCTGTGAACTTCACGATGTAGTGGCTTTGGAAGTAGGTCATAGAGTGTACTGTGGTCTTATTACGACGCAGTTAGCTAATTGATTCTTGGGAAATAAGATTACTCGCACTGCTTAAAAAGGCGAATCTGCAGTAGCGTCTGGTGGTGTTCAAGAAGACGTAATGGACAGGCTGTGATGCGATTCAATCCGGAGAGAAGTTTAGCTACAATAACCTGGGAATGTATCCACCCTCAATGTCTCTCAGGAGATATAAAAAATAAAGCTAGCAAATTGAACGATCAATGAGTGAAAGTCCGGAGAGTTAAGTTCCTTGATGTAACCACAAATTTGCATTAATTGAAAATAGATATATTACAAAGTGAAGGTTCAAATGGTAATCTTCAGCAGCGTGGCGTGAAAGCTGAACCGTCCAAACAAGATGGTCTTCGAATTTAAAGGATAGCGTTAAACTGCTGGACGGAATAAGTGTTTCCGTTGCCCAGACTAGGTGGAGAAACAGGCTTAGCCTGTCGAATTAAACAGGCACCCAGCTACTCGACATTTGAGAAGTTTATAAAATCCTTTGGCCTATCAACCCCCCTTTCTCGAAACCTACCTGGATGGGCTTTTGCATTTCGCATCAACCTTGTTCTGACTTTTAATGGCTAAATTAACACAGCCCAGACCACTCGTTTTATCTCCGCGTGCAGTCACCCAACGATGGTGGCAATGAATAGTCTTGCCCGCTAATTTGCAAAACCTGCCTTAGAGCGGTGCTGCCCAACCCCAAATGGCCTGACCTGTGCCCCAGACATAACCGATGTGTCAAGGGCCACTCAAAACCAGGAGAAATCATCGACGACTTTCATCTTTGGTGATCAGTGTTTCAAACGTTAACTATCGCATCAAGATTCCAGCCGAGCTCGGTTACTGTAATCGATGAGGCCCTTGGTTCCGTACTTGCCCTGATAGATAAGGAGATGGCAAGTTATCGAGGTTGAAAGTGTTTACAAGATTGAAGTTTCGAATGTGATTCGAGTTGATGACTGGATGTCAATTATACGAGTAACTCACCTCGGACCTGTGTAACAGGAGTTCTGACATGGTGTGAAATTGATAGAAGACGCCTAGGATGTTTCTATACGGGGCCGCTTGCCAACGTGGCATATATGCCCGTGTGTTGTCACCAAGATAACGTACGTTAAGACCCAAAAATTATGCCTAAGTTGAATCATGTCACTTTCATTTGTATGGGAGACGGACACCTATATCACGCCTTGTCACCTTGAATTCTAGTTGAGACGAGTGTCCTAAGTAAAGCCGACTACCCAAGTCCGAATTCTCTGGCCGTACATATATAAGACACACAATAAATGACAGATGGTTGAAAGACGAGTAATCAGTCCTTCTCAAGGACTGGCCTACACGAAGATGCAGATGACGATACAAAAGAAGACGAATTCGTTGATTCCTAGAGCTACTCCATCCAGATGTTTAACATCCAAACGTCTTCTCCCATCGTGAATGAATACACAGCAACACCCCTCCCCCCAGTTTCAACATGCATTTTCCCAACCCTCTCGCTCACAAATCCATTCCAAAACCTACAACACCTCCACGCGCCCCATCTCCCCAGTACGGAAACCCCGCACAAGAACCACACATCTCCCACTCCCTCCTCAACAAACCCATAATCCTCACAACCCGCCCATCAAACCACAAATCCAACCACCTCCGATTCCTCTCCCTCTCCTTCCGCAAAGCCTTGATCCGCCTCCCATGGCACTTTGCAAGCCTCTTGGCCAACAACACATCCCCATTCGAGTACACGCCGCCCCCCAGACAGCGCAGGTTCGACCGATACTGCGCCGTCGCATCCTGCATCTTCATGGCGTAGTGATGATCCAGATTTGCGTGATCGAGCGCCTGGTCCCTTTGGAGTTGTTTGAGGTCCTTGTACAGTTGCTCTTGTTGTCTGATGGCCACGCAGCGGACCCGTCCCGTCCGCTCGGGGGACTGTGCGGTGCCGAGGCCGTGGGCCGCGATTGAGTCGAGGCCTGTGTATGTTCCCTTTTCGGGAACGGTGAAGCCGATGGGACGAGGGTACGGGACCTTGTGGTTGAAAATGTGGCGGAACATCTTTGCTGTTTTTGTTCCTTTTAGCAATTGCAGATTTGGCGCATCTGGTTCGGCGAAGGTGGTTTGAGTAATTTTGCGGAGAACTCTGGGGAACTTTTACCGCGAGATGTAGTGTGCTTCTTCTCGAACCAAGGAGTCTTCAAGATGCAGAACAATAGACACCTTCGATAAAAAATCAAAAAAGGGTGTGAGGAGTGGAAGGAGGTTTATCTAGTCTCACAGTTTTCCGTCAAGGTTCTTTTTCCACCGGGAATCGCCAACCATTATGGTTACGAAAGCTTGTACCATGGATGGTTAGAACTAAGAAGTTTATACGTCAGGATCGAGTTAAGTAAGCTCCAACTTGCTCAACTTGTGGCGTCACCACACTTCAGCATACGCCTGTGGCCCCAGTGCACCATAGACCCCGTGATGTATTCTTCTAGTCTTACTTTTATAGGCCGACTAGTTTCGATCTGCGAGACTGGATGGGTAGTCGCCCATACCAACGCGCCGAAGCGTGAGCCAACGAACTGAAGGCTCCATGCCCAAGGTATACCTCACCGTGAAAGTCCGACAAGCGACAATATTAGTATGGTATATATGGAGAGCGGAGCTCGGATCCATTGTTTTAGCTCTACGTCTATATCCTCAATGTTGTCTAGCGCTGTAATTGTTGCCGCCAAATATGACGTCTTGTACTGTTACTCCGTTGCCAATGCTTGAAAGAACAAAGTGAATTCAATCCAATCCAAACGACCGCTGCCGACAAACGCCAAAGTGCCATATCATATGCTTGCCCTTCTATACTTCTCATCAAACGCCAAAGATTCTTCCTTTGCCCTGAACTCTGCCGCGAGCCCCAGCTCCACATCCGGCTCGTGACCCCACCTCCGAATGTTAAATAAACTACCGAACAGTGGCGAGAGCCAAAACCACGCTGGTAAAACCGTGTGACATCGCGTCACCTAGAAGCTGAGCAAGCCACTTCTTCTCTTGCCAAGAGGGTAGACCATGAGGGCGCTCATGAAGAGTCCAACTGTAATACCAATAGCAACTTGAATAACGCTGAGAAGAACCGCAAAGGCCGAGTTGTTAAGATCCGAAGTGTCGGTCGTTGACGAAGTACCGTTATTGTTCGTGATTTGATCAGCCGATGTAACTCCTGCCAGTAATGACCCGCCTGCCGCAAGACCACTAGGAACCTGCACAAATATCGCCGGAAGCATAGCCGCGGCGGCGAGTCCATAGCCCACTGTCCGCTTCCGCTCGGGGACGATCCCTTGAGCCTTGTCCTTTTCGGAAAAGGTAGCAGTAGTAGGTGTTGCTGGCGCCGATCCTTCAGGGGTGTTCTCTCCGGGGGTGTGAATGCCCGAGGGACCGGAGGATCCGGCATTCTGGCCAGACATCTGGTACATTTCCGGGCGAGGACGCTCGTTGCGACGGCGGCTGACGCTGACGAAGCGCGGGGCCATCCGAGCATCCCACCAGTCTAGGAAGTCGAGGAATAAGTTGTGAGCGTGGCGACCAAGGCGGGAGTAGAGATTAGCTAGCAGTCCCACGGTGAGAGCGCCAAGCATGTTTGAGATTTGAGCATTGCCGACGAAAAAGTCGGACGAGTAGCTGTTAACCAGGAATCCAGCAAGCGAGATGGTGATCATGACCGGTGTTTGCTTCCACTTGGCCTGATTGATAATGCAGAGGCAGAGGGTGAAGCACGGAACAAACAGCAAGTACCAGTTCCTATTAAGCGGGTTGGTACAGGTAGTTCTCGACTCGGCGTGACGGTCGATCATGCCGTAAAGAGCAGTGCCAATGGTAGTTCCGTATCCGAGGAAGAGGGTGTAGATCATGGCATAAACCATCCGAACACTACCAGCGACCAAGTTGTGACTTTGCAACTCCAAACTGCTACACAGTACCATGTAACCAGGAAGGATAAGTGCGATTGAGCTCTGCGCTAAGGCAGAGAAACAAAACAGTTCGCCGTGGTTGATGGAGCCGAAGGCGCGGGCCAAGAAGGACGTGACGATGGAGGCGGTGATTTCGAAGACATTCGCGTACAACTCGTTGCTCGGGGCAAGGATCAGTTGCATCCAGCCCAGAATGCAACCGAGAATGAAAGCGATGGGTAAGTCGATGAAGCGTCCCTGGAACGCGAAGGGGGCCACACATGCGCTGGCGAGACCATAGATGGGCACGCGCATCCAGTTGCCGAACTTGAGCTTGCGGCTCGTGATGTTCTCCAGCATGATGGTAGCCTCATCGGCGCTGATCAGATCGTGGACAACCTGCTTATAGATGTCGTGCACGTCGCGCAGTTTGCCCAAATCCACGCCATGTACCGAGCGCACTATCTTGACCTCGGTCGTGTGGGTTGCGCTGTCGTCGAAACTGATAATCATACAACCAGGTATGTAGAGGAACTGACCCTCAATCTCAAGCACACGGGCCGACATCTTCATGTACTCCTCGAGCCTATGCGTAGGAGCTCCATACATCATCAGCGCCCTGCACAGTTTGACAAGGTACTTATGTCTCGACAGGATCTGAGCAATGTGCTTAGTAATCCTATGCTTCTCTTCAGCCTTTGATGACTTTGGTGAGGATCCGCCCCAGACTCCAGACTTCTTCTTCTTCGGCCGCGAAGGGGGCTCGGTCCTGAGTTTCTCAGTGAAGCCCTGGCTGAATACACTGGAAGCCGGCCCAGCCATGGCAGACGATGACTTCATGAGTTCAGCTAGGGCCATGGAAGACCGAGAGCCCTGCTTCTTGTGGTAGTTGAACAATCCACTGTTGGGCCGAGAAGGTCGTGGTGATCCAGGGATCGAAGGAGCGGCGGAGGGTGGCATGGAACCCGGAGGAGAGTGGCTGGGCGTCGCCGTCGCCGGAGTGTTGGATCCCGTGTTCCTACCACTGTTACCACCGCTGCCATTCTCGTTGTATAGCTTGAGCAGCGATGATAGAATACCGCCCTGGTACTGCTTGGGGGGCGGGACGTAGTCATGTGCGTAAGACTGCTCCAAGGTGGGCGTAGCGGTGCCAGACCGAACACCAGAAGGCGGCTCATACTTGAAATAGTCATTGGGTCCTCGGCCACCTTTCTTGGCACGTCTTGTGTGGGATCGGACAAGATTCTCGGCATCCAAGTGTGAGTTCTTCCTGGGACGAGACCGAACGTTTTGTCGCTCATCTGAACCGTCTACCGCAGAGCTCAAGCCGGTGACCTGATCGGTTTCCTCATCGTCGCTGAATGGATTGTAAGGTCCCTCAATGGAGTTGCGACGAGAAGGTGGTGATGAGTAATTCTCGACGCTGACGGCCAAGCGGTTGGCACGCTGGCGGGCCTCCAGACCCGAACGCTGCTGCCGTTCGCCGGCGGTTTGCTCAGCGAGATCGGCCTTCTGCCTCTCTTCCGGAGCATCGTAGCTGGTGTTACGGCGGAGGACGGGCCGGGGTCGGGCAGGTGTCTCAGAGGGGCCGCTCTCTTGCTTCTCCGAAATCAAAACCTGAGTGAGAGCACGGCGCAGCTCGCCGGCATCGGGAGCTCCTGCTGGCGTTGCGTCCGTGTCCCGCCTTGGAGTATCAACGGGTCTAGGTGTATCAAAGGGGTTAACTTCGGGAGACATTGACTGTGGAAAGTAGTCATCGTCAATTACGATGCTCGGTGGCCGATTGTCCACCGGGGCTGGTTGGCTAGGCCGAGGGCTGTCGGCATGGAAGCCGACTTTCTTCTTCTCCTTCTTGTCCTTTCGCGCCTGTGGCGTTGCGGACGAAGGGTGAAGCAACGGTGGAGTTTGCAGCTTGATGGGCTGTTCCTGTGTTGGGTTCTCAAAGGGATTCGGTGGTGTGTTGCTGGAGCCGGAGCTCGTCTGGCCAGACTCTTGAGGCGACCCCGACATTCTGTCTAGAGAGGAAACGATCGTCGCTTCCAAGTCGTTGGTTGCAGTTTGTCGTCCTCAACTAACTCCAAAGAGCCTGCAGGTCGTGGTACAAAAGCCTTTACAAAACAGTCGTGACTGGAAGGGGGTAGAGCTGCTAGTGGATAAAGGTTTTCTGGGTATACAGAATCAAGTATCCAGATATCGATGGATGAATAGTATCGTCGTGATCATGCGGGTGTCATCAGTGGACCTCACGGCGGTAGCACTCGTGGAAAGTAGGCGCCATTGCGTGAGGGAATGGGAAAGCTAGTTGAAGGGGTTGAAAGGTCGGAGTGAAAGATTGAGGACGGGGAAGAGAGGGATGAGGAGGAGGGCGAGGAGGGGATAATCAATGGAGTCGGGAAGCTTAGAAAGCTGGCGGAAGGAGCGGAGAGACGGGACGTAATGAATGGCGAAAAACACAAGACGGAGAAGGGAGAAAGAACTGGAGAAGCTACAGCTGAGAAAGCGCGGAGGAAAGCAGATCCCAGGAACAGCAGCAGAAAACGGCAACGAGCAGACCGGGAGGCTCCACGGGCCCGTCGTCGACTCGTCGCCGGTTCCTTGCTTGGATGCTTGGAGCGTGTGTGGTGTTTCTCGGCCCCGGTGCTAGGGGATTGGCGTGTATGGTGCGCCTCTGGGTTATCACGCAAGATTGACGGCTCTGCTCCGTGGTATCCATACACTTGTTCTCCGTACACCACGGCGTATGGAAAACAGAGTATTCGTAGGTGTGTCTGTGGGAGGTATTGGAGGAGCAAGATGGAGAGGATGGACCTTGAACCATGTTTGACGTCGATGCTCACGCCCGTGCCCCACGCCCGTCACCAGCGCCCATCACAGACATGGATGATGGTTGACAATCCCACGCCTCGCCCATTGCCCTGCCATGGCGGGCCCTACGAAGAGTGGGCTGTGATCTGTGATCCTGCTACTTGTCCATGGCACCTTGGCCAAGCCAGACGGACTTGCTCGGCTGGCGGGGCGCGAGAGCGGGCGAGCGTGAGGGGAGGGTGAGTGATGGAGGGAACGGGAGAGAAAAACACGAAGGGTCCACAAGAGTCGTCAGAAAGGAGTGGAGAGAGGTCGAGTCGAAAATGTTGCTATGGGTGGATTCGGCGATAAGGAGAACAAAGCTCCAGCCGCGTCGAGTGTGTGGCTAAAAAGACTTGTTGTTGGTGCAAAGAGCTTGCAGAGGCGACAAGATGGAGGGAAGAGGCAACCTTGAGGGCCAAGGGTACACCCAGGTACGTACCCTGCTTAGTGTGCAGCTCTTGCCGCCGTCGAGGATTTTCCCTTGCGCTAGAAATGGCATTGTGCTAGAAAGAGTGGATCCTGCCGCGGAAACCCCTATCGATGACCGCCACCTCCCCCTTCCCGTCTCTACCTTACCTAGGTACGGACACCTGTGTGATGAGAGTGAAGAGTGAGTGAACATATGAGGTGGTGGGGTGAGTACCTAAGTGAGTAAAAGTGAGTGAGTGAGCGCAACACCACTGAATGAGAGTGAGAGTCATACAGAAACTCAAGTGAAATCCCCTGAATGGACACCTTGCCTTGAGTCTTGACTCTCGCAATGCCACCCCTCCCTCCCCTCCAGCCTTCCAAGATTCCCGCCATCCCTGCCAGGAACCCTTAGCCATCCATTCTGTGCATTCTCTCTTCCTCTCTTCAAAAAAACTCTCTCCAAAAAGGAAAAAAAAAAGGGTGTGTGCAGCACAGCTAGCCCCCCGTGCCTGCGTCGTTGACCCCCATGCCGTCATTTCAACTCACGCCCCCCTCTCATTACCCCCTCCGACACCCTCACTGCGTTTTCTGTCTTGCCCCAAATGAAGCTCTGCTGAGCTGTCCGAACCACAGGCGCCTATCATTGCCTCTTCTCACGACAGTTGCAGAACATCTGGAGCTGTTTAGCGCACTCACCTCGCGTCACACGTGCCTGCACCAAGACGACGCAGTGGACTCGATGCCGTCGTTATCAGTCGAGTGTCTTGTGTCTTTGTGCGCCGTACCCGCACCTCTCCGGGCCATAGTGGCCTTCTTCGCACTCTCTCTCACCTGAGAATGGGTCGGCCGCCGAGGAGGAGAATTCATACCTGTAGGTGTGAAATGACAAAAAGTAAGGACAGCATTGGTGCCATGTCGAGGAGGTGAGGTGCGCACATCAATCGCATCACTCACAATGGCAAATGGACACTGCCTTTAGGCTTCTGAGCGTTAGCATTCAGGCCGCCTTCAAACTATCCAAGGAGACCCGATGTAACGTCACGAACGCGCGCGTCTTGCTCTTAGCATTGTAAATGCGGTGGGAAAAACTCAGATGTTGTCAACTCATACACTGCGAACCCCGAGTCCGGCCGCCGGCAATGTTCCGGCGGTAGCCCTGTCAGAGATACCGAACAGGGCGAGTTGGACGGGGGGGGGCTTTCAAGCTAACGGGTATTGGCATCCCAACTCTTCTATGCGTTCCCAACAGAACGTCTCTGGCGCGATCTCACTACCATAGCCGTTCCGCTATTAGGTTCGTCGACCCGTCGCCAGTGCCCGTCTGGGCCTTAAGGGGTACCTACAGTGGTAAAGGGTAGGGTGTATTTTCAAGCCATGTTCCCTGTGAGAGGTTAGAGAGGGTGTGACGGGAAGCACCTCGGAGGTGTGCTAAGTTCGAGCACGAGCGGTCGGCTATTGTTAGACAGATAGAGGACTAGCCAGCGACCATACACTAAGCGGAAGAAGAAGAACAAGAAGCAACCACTGCCGTAGCGCTGTCGCAGATGTGATCGATGTCCAATCTTGCATCCGAATCGGTTGCTTCGTAGGGCCGATTGAGATAACAAAATGAGCTTGGCCGAGACTGTGCGTTTGCCATTACACCATGCTTTTTCAGTATTCGTCATTCGCCGCCGCTTGGTTTGAGTTTTCCCTCTGGAATGCTCCCTTTTCATTGTTCAGTCGTCACTCTTTTCCTGCTACTCCAGTCGACTCAGACACACACATACGTAGTCGTACACACTGTCACACACCTTTGCTCTCACAACACTTGCTGCCGAATTTCTCGACTCTCAGACCACGGCTTATCCCAATCTTGGCTTTCGCCGCAAAGCCACAAAACGCCAATCACTCACTTCACCTGCCATGTGTCACAGCATCATCTCGTTTCGAGGTCATCCCGTCAACGGCGTGCCTGGGCGGATAATGGATTACCAGAACCGTCACACTCAAACGCACACACATACCTACCTACTGCGTACTCTCCTCAGATTTTACAGTGAACCCCCAAAAATTGTCCTCTTTCGCATGACTCTCAGGCCTGCCATCGGAACCCCTCCGTTCCCTGCTAGCTCCAGGGCCCCAAAAAGCCAAACAGACGAAACAATCAGGGCAGCTCCCTGGCTGAGCATCATGGCACCCCTGGCTGCGACATGCTGGGTGGCGTACCTACTACATAGTTTGTAGAGGAAACCCCCGATCTGGCAGCATGAGCATCTCTGCGCTGGCTAGCCCCTGTGTGAGCGAGTGTCTTCACATCCGTTCCTGTCTCCCGGGCCAGACATCCGAACCGCGGAACCTGGCCAATGGCGAATCTGCAAAGGAATTGTGCAGCCCTCTCTCTCTCGCCTGTCGTCGTCGCGCTGCGTCTCTCCCGAGCCACCGGTGCAGCGGCGCAAAACCGGTCGACGAGACCACAATGACGTAGGGGAACGGTGTAGCATCAATGGCACCCCACACCCCCCCCCCCCCCCTTTTTCCCACCCTCCCGGCCAACGAACCCACCTAGCGAGAGAGATCAATGCCATCTCCATCTCAGCTTGATTTTCCGCCAATTTGTGTGTGTGTGTATCTATTCTTTGACATGCGTCCTTGACGGGATACCGCCCAGAATGACACGTTCGAGAGGCTCTGCTGTCCGTTTCCAACTAGATCGTCGATCCTTTCGGCCTTGAACGACGACCGGACGACGACCCTTATTCGATGATGTACAATAGACCCCACTTTCACATGAACATTCTCCTTGGAATTGTGATCTGACTTTGGAGTTGGCGTTCCTGATTCGTCCCAAGGTTCACCGTCGTCGACTTCTGTCGTTCTTCATCATTCAAGCAACCCAATCTATCAAACCTTTTCTCGGTCAACAAGCTCCCCCGTGCCCCCTTACGCGCGTAACCCTCGTATCGGCCAGACTACTACTCTGTACAGATACACTACCACGGCAACGGCGCGGCCTGTTCACCGATCACCGATCAACTGTTTCTATCCTGAGTGAGGCTGTGAAGCCCGTTCACCATCTTGCCCCCCTCCTAAACCCCCCCCAATCAAAGCATCCACGCGGCGCGCCGTCCATCACGCATACCGCACCGACGCTGCCATGATAGATTGCCAATCTCATTCGAACTCTGGTTGTGATTGACACCAAAGATGTGTGTGTGTGCGCGCGTGTGTGGTGGGCGTATGCGTTTGTCCGCCCTCCCGTGCCGCCCGGGACATCGGAACCGGGAAGGGCATCAACCACCAACCATCGTGAATCAGACGTCCACACACCACACCCCATCCCAACCATGAAAGAGTTTCGGCCGCCGTTCTAGACCGCCCTGCCGTGACGGGAAGGAAGATGGGGGTGACCCCTCCTCCTCCTCCTCCTCCTCTCCTCCTCTCCTCCTCGCGAGCTCTAGATTCCGCTCACTGCAAGGTAGCTAGCTGCAAAGGCGAGGCTCCTCTTCTCCCGGGTTCCTTTGTGTAAGGTACTGAGATCCATCATCTTCAGCCCACGTACCCGTCGCCCGCTCCCAAACACGGACACACTTCTCACTCTCCACTGGGGCCACCGGGAGTGGGTATATCGACCGTTCCAGCTTTTGTCTCGCTCGTCCGTGTGATGACAAAAAGGGGCCCCCTGTCACCCATCGTCGACTCACTCATCTTTTCGCAGTCCCTCACGTCCCTTCACGTCCCTCTTCTCGGTTTACCCAATACGGAAATCCCGAGCCTTGGGTCCATATTTTGGGATATCCTCTTTTTCTCCCTCTCAGGCTATTGGTGTCGCTCCCTCTCTCCAAAGACTCACGATCCAGCTGATTTTCCCACCATCCTGCGCCATCGCCTTTCGCATTTCTCCTCCCGGCAGACCCAAAAAGCTCTTTCCACATTAAAGTCGCCCCCCGGGGCCCCGACTACAACTGTGCTTGCAGCTGCTATCCGTCTTCCCCCTCCCTTCCCATTAAGCTGGATTCGGTACAGTATCCGAAGGATGGAATTGGCTTTTTCACTTCAGCTGGATCCATGGGCAAGGGTTCGTCACGCTGCTCTGCGGCGTGGAACCCCCAAAGACTCCCAAAATCCTTCCGCCCCTCCAATGGTTTGTCAAATCGTGATTTAAATCTCTGCTTTGCCTCATGGTCGCGATATCCATCGCTGCGCGCCGGGAAGCCCTGCTCGAGGTTCCAGCCCAATATCCGAACCCCGTACATGGCAGTTTTGACAACCCTCGCACATTCACAGTGGCAAACCCCTGTCGACCCTCCTATCGGGGCCCCTTTGAGTGATGCGCGCAAGGGAACGAAGAGAGCCCTTGGCAGGAGGAAGAGCTCTCTCCCGACGGTGGAGTTTCTGTCTTTCTTGTTCCTCTTCTCCCAATCCTAATTTTGTGCCTCCCACGGTAAGATTTTCCGCTACACAAACTCCACCAGGATTCCAGACCACAAGGGCCAAAGCTAGTTGAATAAAAAAACAAAGCTGCAAAACCCAAGTCCAAAAATAAGATGAGACCTTCTTCGTCCGGCCAGTGGTCCCAACCATGCCGCGTCCCGTCCGAAACAGAGGTAGTATCGGGGCCATTTCGCGGCTCGTGTGTCCACAACTTTTTTATCCTTTGCAGATGGCCCGGAAGTTGCAGCCGAACTCAATAGAAACTCTGTTTTACGGGCTGATCATTGATGATGTGGCCGAACTACCTCAGCTGAGAGGCGGATAGGTAAAAGCGAGCCGTCCGGCCAAAACACCAGTTGACGCCGATAGAAATCGAACCCGACTCAACTTACTAAGCCAAGTTTTGCTTCCACACAAGTAGGCAAAAAGCATTGCAGTTTAATAGTCAGCGGCGAGGGAGTCCGCGTTCAACTTCTGCCGCACGTTTCCGATTGCAATTTGGCATTGGACGATGTAGACTCAGAGTTCAGCATGAAACGAGCGCTGTGCTGCACAAAGGTCAACATCCTTTGGGGGCATTGTTTTTTTCTCACTTTCTTTCTTTCTGCTCCCACCCCTTTTTTGTCAATGGCATGCTGCATGACAACGGATGAGATGCTGGCTGATGCGATGCAAAACCTTGATATGAGGCCAACGGTGATTCGTGATGCAGCAGCAGTGTTGACTCGAGCAAGGCAAAAACAGAACGCTGTGATTCGAGGCAAGGTTTGCAATCTTGATACTGCAGTTGACATGCAATTGACACGTGAAGCTGTCATCTCAACAATTATCCGTTGACGCGTGTACCTGTCTTTCCACGTCTGCAACCCGAACGGCTCCATCGACTAAGCCGCATCGCCAAGTCTTCGTTTCAAAGTAGCCGTAGGCCCGATATCAATGCTACCCACATTGGTAGACACGACAACCGTGGGAACGTGGAAACCTAAACGAAGGAAGGTGGCCGCAGGAAACAGCAAGGGGAGGTAGCTCAACATGTCGCGTAAAAGTGTGTCCAAGCTGTCCTCGTCGGTGACAAATGCCACCTACCGTGACGGCTCGTCTAATCCGGATGCAACACCGTCATAGACGACCCCCACGCCGCTACGCCACGGGCCCGCGGCAACTTACCACACTCCCGGGCCCACCTGATATCAAGGACGATTATGCTTTTGCGCTTCCTTTTTTCTCACACGAACACTCCGTCCAAGGGAGACAAGGTTCGACGCCCCTGGAGGCATGATGTTGGCAGGCACCCTCAATTCGTTGCCAACTTGAAAAAGGTTGGTGTGACGGGCATCGGCTACGCCGCCCCGGTGGTACCACTGGCAGTGGGAATGAAGCCATCGCGAAGTCCGCAACCCGTCACCCACACGGTTCGCAGAGACAGAAAAAAGAAAATCGACATGTCATTTTTGAGTCCTGCGGTAAACACACCCTTGCTGTCAGGAGTCCCCTCCCCCCGTACGTCGGGTTGTAAGACTGCGTAATCTCCCATCGCAGCCCAACGATACATGGTCCCCTGTCCTTTTTATGAGGCTTGTTCACGATGGACGTCCGTGTGCTGCTGAGAAAATTTGAGCGGATCCGGTCCGCAGGCTGCACATGTGGACCGGATCGGGGAATTTCTTCATTTCAGGGGGATCCATCGAACATTCTCCCGTGTTGATCGATGGGAAGATTGCCATCGGCAGGAGACGAATGCCATAGCAACGATGAGTCTAGTTGTTTTTGTTTGCCCATCCATACTTGAATTCACTTTAAGTTATCCAGCAGGTTCAATCCTCAGTTTGTGACTATAGTATGGCTCTAAAGTCCATTGGATTGGGAATTGATGTGAAATCAAAGACCTGTGCTGCTTCATAACTTTTCACAAGCGAGCCCAGGAGCTGTAAACGAAGGGAATCTCACATTATTCTCAACCTTTCTTCGACGTCAAAACCAAAAAATGCCATTTGAGGTTGTCCAAGTTGTTCTTCCATAAAGCATGGCTGAAATCCCTACAGAGAGTGACTGGACACGGGAATAGCACCGGTCACCGTAAAATAGAGGTCAAACAATACTGGACATCGAGACTCGATGCATAGCTGGGAGTCTATAGGTTTGTATGGGGTTTCAGCTTGGTATAATTTGGTGTAGAGACTGGCCAATACCCTTCGTCCAAAACTTTGGCTAACAACTGCCATGATGCTGACATTCGAAAGCAACTTGCCTTTTACTTTATCTTACTGTTGAGTTTCTGTTTTCAAATATCGCGCGATCACAAGACGGGTTTCAGGTGTAAAATTCAAACATCGAACATTGCAAATAAAGCATTCACGATTGGAAGAGGTTTCTGAGGCATCAAGATACATTAATGACGTCTTCAGCATCTCCTTACCGTCAATGGAAACTGTCTATGCAGGAAACAGGTCCCTCCCACCGCCTTCCGTCTTTCTATGTTGCAAAGTACGTCTTAGTATGACATACAAGTAACTTTCTTCAGGCTGCATAGATTCATCACTTCTTTCCAAGCAGGTACTGTTGGACTGTTTCTACCAACGTATGATGACAGATGCCGTTATCGGGGCCGCTGTCTCTAGCTCCTGGGTACAGGTGGCTGTCGTCACACATACTTTCTAGTTAACACTACGTACCAGAACAAAGACATGGAAAAACTAAGCAACATGTTGAGAGCCAAGCATCTTAAAACACCGACTGCGAAGGAAGATCGTGTAGCGGTCTCGTTCCAGTTGAGCGCAAAAGATTGTTCTGACCTCACTCCAAAACGATACTGGCCTTCTAGAGATCTTCTGATGGGCCGAGGGCGCTATCATTGATGGAAGCGGAATCCGTAATCAATTCATTTTCAAGGGGGCCTCCTCGAGTATCTTTGATAGCTGATGCAAAGTGGTATTGAGAAATTCAGAATGCGTTATAAGTAAGTGGAAGAGGCTGTAAAATCAACAGCAACGAGTTGTGGTCTCTATCACCATACTTTCCAGCTTCGGATCAAAACCTTTCGCGGGGATCTAGACTCTTGCAAGCAGGTGATAGAGCTGAGCTCGCTAGTTTAATCGACGCCAGATCAGTGCGAGAGACTGTTTTCGACCGGGTGATGGTCACAAGATCTCCTTGTGTCTAGTGGTAGTAATTACTTACGTGAGTGCTGGGATGCAAGCAAGCCGTGGTTTGAGAGTGGTCCGTACATGCCAGGTTTGTGCCAGGCTCTCGAGTCTTGAGGTGAGTTCCAATGACGCAAAGGAAACGGTTATCTACTAAAAGACATTTTATCTTCCAACTTTGCATCAACTTGCAAATGTAGTTTAATTACACTGAAGCTGCCACAATGGACGCCAGCAAACCCAACCTTACCAAAGCCAGATACGGACTTGACTTTCTATTCTCGTAAACTCAGCGAGCATCAACTCAGGCTTGCTGGAGTACCTCTGGGAAAGCAATCAGCCGGTGAACTGTGTTTGCTATTTCTCCGGTCAGTCAGTATCCCTTGAATTTGATGGCCCTCTACCTATGTACGCATTTGATCTTAGCTCGTCTCAGTGATGAAAATGCCGTTTTGTTCAAAGACTTACCGATTGAGGCTCTGTCCAAATACTAAGAGCCTTTTGATTCAAAGACCGGGAACGCCACGACCCAGATCAGCCTTGAAGAATTGCAGAAGAGGACGAGCAGGGTCGAACTGTTCGACATTCTCGACGGGCCACCGGACGACCACTCTCGATTCGAGACGCTCACTCGAAATAACCTCGCGACGGGGGTGTAAATCTGCATCGGGGTGCCCCCAGTTTTGGAGCTGGGAAAGGCTGGCGGCAACTTTCTCTCCAGGATGTTCTGCTCCGAGTTCCAGGTGATTGAGAACAACTCGAGCGGCTGATCATCCTTCAAAGTGGGTTGAAGTGTCTGGAGCCAGCCCTCCAGATCGCCGTAGTATATTGAGAATGCCGTCGACCACGTCAATGCGGGCCTTGACTGGGACCTCGAAACGCCCTATATCAATTAGCACCCACAGCTTAAGTGAGACCTCAAGTCTCAGCTTGATAATCTATCTTCCAACACAACTTTGAGTCTTCAATAAATCCTTTTGAGAACTGGAGAATGCTACCTTATAAATTTTCCCTCCAAGTCAGTCACACAAAAATCATCAAACACCTGTGGATCGACTTGTCAGTGATGTACAACCAGTAGCACCTGACCGGATACAATATCACCACCACTAATGTGTACGGTCTGTCCATGAATCAGTTTGGCCGTCCAAAAATCATCCAAAACACCAGTATTCACGAGAGAGAGAGGACAATTCTCGGTCTGCGAGTGGCAGTGGGCGGAGAATCAGTCTTTGGGTATCAAGAATGCCTTCAACCAGATCAAGAGCATGAGCGCAAATCTCGCCAACCTGGATCTAGAGAGTATCGAATTCGCCACGCCCCAAAAGTTCCTTTTTCCCTGGCGTCAAAGTGTTCACGTACACTTCGGCCTCGTTTCACAAACACCAGAATTTAATCTGCAACATCACCTATGCGGCGCCCACCGAGCCTTTCCAGCCGCCACCTTGGGCAGACGTCCCGATTACCGACCCGTCATGGGAGAAGCCCTCGATTAGCACCCGGGGAAAGGCCTATGGTCATCGTACCACGGCGCTAATACTATAGTTGTGGGGATGCCGCTGAAGATGGATATATTGTCTCAGGTTATTGATGACTTGCCATGCGCTATGGACAAGGACTAGCAAACTGTCTCGACCATAGACTCTCAGCTCAAGAACCTCGCCAAGGGCTTTTCGTCCATGAGCGTCGAAGATTTACTGAAAGAGATGGCTGAAATCATAGGCTTTGCCGTGCTCTCTGGCGTCCAAGCCGCTGTAGGCGCTTTGCTCAATGTGTTGATCGAGCTGTCTGGTGATGCCATCGGCTTCCTGGATACAAAGCTTCACATAGACCTTTGTGCAGGATACCCATCAGACGAAGAAACCTGTTCCCTGGTCGTCAGATGACATCGAGATGCACCAGAAACATCACAGCTCTTATGGGAGCAAATCCTCCGAGTCTTCAATCTCTTCATTCAGTCGCGTGAGTGCGGACAGCATATCACTCACGTCACCCAACACCATCAAGCCAGTGTCTTTCAAGTTTTCAAAGAAGAATTCACCACCTAGGCCACATCGTCAGCAGCGAAACGAGTCTCGTGCCAGTAAGGTACTTGTCGGCGCCTTCGTGGCCTCACTTCCACCAGGCAACCTATCGAGCATTCCTTCGGCAGCCATCAGTATCACCGGCGGCGGCTCCGCAGCCTTGGTTAACATGGCCGTAACTGAAAGCCCGATTCGAAATAAGACTGTCAAGGAATTTTTCAATGAGGGTTACCTTCGTCAGGTTGCTGCTATCCAAATTGGTCTATAGCGCGCCGGGACAAGCACAGCTTCGGGTCAACAATTCCAACCATCCTCTGCTCGCTACGGATAGTCGCGCTGATGATTCAGTGCTCGCCGGCGAAGCCTTGGAAAAGCCAGGTATGGACCAGGCGGCAGCTGCCGTGAGCGAATTGTCCAACATCTTGTCCCATGTGTCGAGGGTCTGTTCCTGTATGTCAGTCTTCATAGCAGTCGGATCAGCTAGGGAACAGCCGATCGGAGATATGATGATTGCAAATGTAGCTATTTGGGGGCTTCGATTTGCGATGGCTGAGATGTAGCGGCCACTTCAGGGAGCTGTCAAGGGCATGCAATCAAGGGATGGCATCAAGAAAGCAGAACAGCACTTGGTAGTGTGTTTATATATGCATCAAATCACATGGTAATAGACCTCACCCTACGCGTGGCCTCTGCCCAATCGGAGGGAATCTTACTTTCGTTATATAATCCTGGAAATACCGAACCTTGGGTTTCCAACGCCTCATATTTGAATCAATGATGATCTTGATTATAGACTAAGTAGTCTTTGATACTATCTTATCATCATTTAAATTTTGATCTTGGTTTCCTGTTGCAAAGCAAGAAAAGGATCAGACGTGTCAGGTATCAACTAGCGTGACTTCAGTATTAGTAACCATGTGGCATCGAAGTAATCTGCATAAAATCCACCCTGTAGATAGTTCGTCATACAGAGCGACCTCACTTTGAAACGTGTGGCCTAGCTCGCGGATCACCAGGCGCAAAGCCGTCCTCCCACCAAAGCCGAGGTCGTCCCCGAGAAAGAAGCACCCTTCCCGCTCGTCCGGAACCCGGAATCAGACCACCGCCGGCTATCTCATGGTGGGGGCACTCTACACTGCGGGACCGGACATCGATCCAACGACACAGCCGAGGGCACCCGGGCTGCGGAAAGGATGCGCAACCCGTACAAGTAAATATCCTTGGAAGGGAATTTTCCTGCAGTTCCTGCGCCGCAGGTGTACATACCCGGGTGAGGCACAAGGGCCTGGGCAGACGGACAACATCCGAGCAGGCCTCTTGATCTTCTTGTCTTGATTTCAGTCAGTGGCTACGGCATTGGAACTCTCTCTTCTGCACAAGTGACTTCTCACTCTGGTCTCTTTTTCTTTTTCTTTCTCTAGGGAGAGAGTTATAAGCCAGTGTGATATTTACAACCGAGGCGCGTTGAACGCAGTCGATGGGTGCAGAACGCACCGACTACCGGTTGAAAATCGTGCCCCAAGCTGTTGGTGCTCGGAGTACAAGCATTACAAAGCAAGAAAGAGAGGTAAAACAGGGGAGGGGTTGCCAAGCCCTCGGGTTCGCGATGGAGTCAAACATACATTCCAAAACCCTTTCAAAGTTCATCAACCCAAGTAAGCGCCGGTGTTCTCTCCGCGCACGCGCCCCTCCACTGTCCACATCATCTTCCCCCCGGAATCCACCATTCCCCATTAATAGCTTGAAGTAGTTAAACTGGTGCGGCCGGGCCTGGAACCCAGCCAAACCCCAAGGTCCCAAACTGGAGCCGAGTCCCAACAAGCAGTCCCAAATACACGCGTCTACAGATAGTGTACGTAGGTACGGATACCATGTAGGGAGAAAGACAAGAGTGGGGGATAGGGGAAAGGGGGGGGGGGGGGGGGGGGCGGGGGGGGCCACCCTCCGCAAGGCCGCGGCGAGGGACGGCGTGGGGCGGGGGGTGGGAGGCGCGGAGCCCGGGCGCGCGGCGGGGGGGGGGGGGGGGGGGGGGGGGGGGGGGGGGGGGAAGGGGGGAAGCGACCCACCGAAAAAACTCTTGGAGAAATCTGGAGCAGGTGGGTGTACGGAGTACAGCGGAACAGCTCTCCACAACGGACGCCAATGAGACGGGTGCTCGTCATCGTGGACGGTGAAGCGGCCCCATTGCGACGTTCCCGGCCACATCACATCGTACGAGTATCCATGTCTTCCAACATCCAGAGACACGACTCAAAATGCCTGACCGCACCAGACTGAAGCAACCCCAGACGGAGAAGAGAGGGTGGCCCTGCCGCGAGAAACGTGAAGATGTCGGTGGGGAATGAATAAAGTCGTCACTCTGTGAGATTATGACATGGGGAGGTGGGGTCGATCTTGGGTCCGGTTGTAGTAGGTACTTGTAAGTACCTAGGTAAAGATTGTGTAGTTTTTCGCCGACAAAGCGCCAATAGCTGTCTCTGCACTCCCGTCCGGCTGCTTTGGGTAAATCGAACAGCAAAAGAGTCCGTTTCCCCGAGTCTGCTCTGAGTTGCCGACCGCCGGCTACTGCCCACTCGGCACCATGGAGCGGGGACAAGTGGGGCGAGACGGACGCTGGTCTGGACCGGTTCGGCCTTCAGCTGGCCATAGCACCGCCGATGGCTAATCCGTGACATGCAGAAGGAAAAAGTTCGAGACATCACACTCCACTACTTATGCAAGCACTCGCAAGCTTCGACGCCCAGCGCCCAGCGCCCAGCGACACCGACATCTACCCAGTGGCTTGGCGGAAAGCTTGTCTACACGAGGGAAAACGTCGTGAGGTGAAACATCACGTCGCACATCTGGTCGCGTGCAGCAAGGAAAGATACAGGGTAAGACAGGGACTTTTTCAAATGGTATCAATCTTTGTATTCTTTCATTCGCGCCCGTGGCGCGTCCCATGGGGTATTGTGTATGGTCTCACAGCCATTGGAGACCCTGTTGCAGCCTCCCCTCTGTACTAGTGTACCAAAATCCAAATCATTCCATACGTATATCTCTCAAAGTGTCGTGGGTCCGTCAGCGACAGCTCTTAATCTTTGCGCGTATCCTCGACGTTGGAAGCCCTGATGCTACCCTTCTCCTCGTCATGGTCGTCAATCTCCTTGGTCTCGACGGCCTCACCCTGCACACCGGCGACGGCATGCTCGAAGCTGCGGCCGCGTCGCTCAGGTCCGAACATGGTGGTGACCACGATTCCTATGGCAATGATGGCTGTGGCGATTCCCATGACAGGTCCGTAGGCCTCGACGCTGTGGCCAGAGGGAGCAGTGACAAAAGTCTTCTCGGAGATGGCGTTGACGATTTGCGCAGAGGGTGACGAGATCATGTTGCCCAGCTGGTAGGTAATACCGGGGAATGAGGAGCGGAAGGCCGGGGGCGACAGCTCGTTAAGATGGATGGGAATGACACCCCAGGCGCCCTGAACGAAAAACTGCATAAAGAAACCGCTGGCACTCAGGCTACGCTCTCCCTGGGGAAGGATCCAGGCGGGGATGAGGCAGGCAGAAATGAGAGCCGAAGTGATAATGGCGCGGCGGCGACCGACAAATTGGGATAGGTAGCCGATAATGGTGCCACCGACGCAGGCGCCAGCCTTCATGAGGATGGACGCGCGGGAAGCACCAGCGTTGTCCATCTCCTTTTGGGCAATCATGAAGGTTGTGTATGAGTCTTGCGACGTGTGGGAGTAGTAGTTGAACCAGGTCATGAGGATGATGCAGTAGACACACATCTTCCACTCCTGGGCCAACATCTTCTTAGTCTCCCGCCAAAAGGCGCCAGGAGAGGCTGACTTCTTTCCGTGAGCCTTGGCCTCGAGGAACTGCTGGGACTCGGGGAAAGCAATACGGACGAGGCCGACAGCGATGGAGATACCGGCGGCGATCCAGAAGACAGTCTTCCAGGTCTCGGTGCCACCGCCGACACCGAGGTTGGCACATGCCGCGAGGACGTACCCAAACGAGTAGCCCTGTTGAAGGATACCGGACATCAAACCACGGGCATTGGAGCTGAGAAAAAGTTAGCAGGCAATCGACATGGATATGGAACGCTGTTTTTGACGTACGGGCAGTGCTCAAGGGCCATGGCAATGGCGTTACCGTAGACACCTCCCATGAAGAGACCGAACAAGCTGCGCACAGCCAAGAACTGCTGGAATGTCTTGCTGTAGATGGTGGCGATCTGCAAAAGACCAAGAATGATCATGTTGAGGACCATGGGCCACTTGCGGCCATACTTATCACCAGCTAGACCGAAGAAGGCAGCGCCGATGGAACGGAGAAGCAGAGTCAAAGTAATGGCTGTGGTGATATCCGTCTTTGAGCGGTCATAGTACTTGGCCAACTTGGTTGTCTGGATAGACAGGGCGTGGAAGTCAAAGGCATCTGCCGTCCAGGCGCAGAAACCGCATAGGAAGAAGAGCCAGTCGCGAGGGCTAAGCTGAGCCATCAGGCTGATGGGGTTCTTGATTGGGTCGGGATCCTGCCATTCTGTGTGCGTCTCGCCTGTCGGGCTTACAACGACGGTGCGCTGTCTCCAGATGAAGAGGTCCTTCCAGGACTGCTTGGCCGTGGCCAGGACGCCCTTGGCGACGGGGTCGGCGGGCTGCGCAGTCGGCGTTGACATGGTGAGTGTCTGTTTGCGTTTTGCTGGCTCCAAGACACGTTTAAGTATGAATATCTACTTTGGTGGAAGATGCCGGTAATCAGGGGAGAGGTAAAGGAGGATGTGGGGATGAGAAGATGAGGCACGACTGAGAGAGTTCAGCTGAATGGGATGAAAAGGGGGACACAGAGGTTCTTCATATAGTTGGGCACGCCCCTCAATGGCCACCTAGGTTGGCGAATCATGAGGCAGTCCAGCGTCTCGGTGCCAAGAGTTCACCAACATGGAGTAGGTGGATAAGATGGTTTCGAAGGAGGAGAGGGACAAAAAACAAAGGGCACCGGTGTCGAGGTTCAGAGTGACCGGGATGGCACCGACATGCTCACGGTTTGGAAAGCGATCAACTCCCATGATGGAACGCTGCAGTGAGGCGTGATGATTAGTGCGGGCAGGCTGACCAATGGAGGCCAGGGCTATTTCTGATGGATGCGTGGGGAGGCCGGAGACGACGCTGCGGGGTCGGCGGCCGGAGAGGAGGCCAGGATGAGCATGGTGAGGAGGCCATGAGGAAGCTAGGAGGAGGAAGAGATGGAAACGAGGGGGGGGGGGGGGGGGGGGGGGGGAAGGGGGGGGGGGGGGGGGGGGGAGGAGGGGGAGGGGGGGGGGGAGAGGGGGGGGGGGGGGGGGGGGGCATGCTGCATAGAAGCTAGATTTGCTACTACGTAGAGAGCAGCTAGAGCTTTCTAGCGGGGAGAATAGAAGAGCGTGCCTCGCTCGATGCGGACACTATGCAAGTAGGGAGCACGAGAAAAGCGGCAGACAAGGGGTCGAAGAGACCGGGGTGTCTGTTCCATGCCCCTGCTCAAAGTGTTTGGCGAGCTAAGGTGCTGAGAGGCGAGAGAAGGCTAAGGGAAAGCCAGGGACCACGAGGATTACGAAGGCGCGGACCAGGTTAGGATATTGCATATGATGGCGTGCGTTGGCAAGGGAGAGAGGCATATGCCTATGCCCAGTACGGTATTTCACGCGTGCGGGAGACGGCCTTCACTCCGGCACATGATGGATCACCCCATGTAGCGTGAGGCACGACGGCTTCTCAGCTAGCTGCTTGGCAGCAGCAGAGTCAAGAGTGCTGGATGGGAAAGAGGTTGGGTGGCGTTTGTCCTCATGAACCACGATCCATTGATAAGTGTCAGTCTCCCGACATGTCCCACTGCGGTGGCGTGAGATGCGATATGAGCCGGGGCGGGAACCAACGCAGCATCTTGAATCCACTGGGAGTCACCAGCCAAACACCCTCTCGATTCCGTGAATGACCCTCGTTTGGGGTTGATATAAGCGGGAAAGACGACGACGCACTCGTTTGGTCGCACAAAACGTGTCACACGCCTCCCTCTCTCTTGTCTTGGTGTCTGTGGTTTCGGGCAAGGTGCAGGTTGCGCTGCGGCAGACCAGAAGAGGAACTGGTGAAACAAATTGCGTGGAACAGACGTGTCGAGAAACGGCTCTCGATGAATGGGCGAGGCAGGCTTTGTTGAGACGTAATCTTGAATGGCTCCGTCGCAGTGGTAGCGATAACTACAGTGTTACGCTGTCGGAGCAGTGTAAGAGACGGATGGATTTGAGGCCAAGAATAAGCAGAGTGGAACGCTAGGAATAGCAACGGAGGGTCCGACTGCAGCGATACTCTGCACCGTGAGAAACAAACCAAGAACGGGGCCAGGAAGAAACGACAGGTAGCCCGTGTGCCCGGACGGTGAAAAAGGGTGGGAGAGGGGGAAAAAAAAGTTTGCGCCTCACACTCTAGGAGGTCTTGGCTGTCTGTGTTGGGGTTTAGTCTGCGGAGAGTTGGATTGGGGCGACTGGGCAATGTTACATCACGGCCGAATCCTTCAATGGAGCGTGATAAAAAGGTGTGGGTGGGAGGAGGAGGAAAAAAGGGGGGAAGACGAGCACCGGAGACAGACATGCAAAATGAAAGACTGGCTATCGGGGGTTACGTACTGCCTCACGTTTTCTCCTGCCTGATGTTAGAGGGAGATGTTTTGGAAAGGATGACCTCAGCAGAGTGATCCACCAAGTCACGATCACGCCTGCCTTCGTTCTTGTTCTTCCCAAATTTATTAGTCGTTCCTGCCCTGGTCCAGCAAGTGCCTGGAGCAAGGGAGCGCGAGACAACCTAAGGAAAGCGAGCCATCACTCGTGTCCCATGACTCCTCTTCTTTCCGCCTTCGACTGGTCGTTGCCTTCCTTCCAGAAGACCACCCAGAAGGAATCCCGCGCGGGTACGTACACAAGCACTCATGGAAGGCAGTCACACATTTCTCAAATTGCACTATTATCGCGCCGCAAGGTACTTTGTACTTCTCATGAAATATGCTTCTTCTAGGTATGCTTCGCACTACTGCCGCCACCTGCATGCGAGAGGGGGAAGGGAACGAGCAACACCAGAATCGCCGAGTCGCCAACGCCAACGCCGACACCAACACCACAAATCGCAAGCGTGCAAAAGAACGCAGCCAGGCAAGGATGGGGCTACTCGCCAGAAGTAGGCCAAGACCCAACGGGCAATGACTCTGCCAAGAAAGTGCTTGTGTCCTTCTCGGCAAGCCATCCCGTTACGCCAAGTTGCTCGGCGCTGCGAGGGGATTGAGTGAATTGTCGCCGCACTCTCGACGACGTTTGACGATTTTGCGATACCGAACGCAGAAGAGGTGAGGTTGAAATAACACAAGGTTGTTTCGCGCCGATTCCAGCAGAGTGGTCCTATGAGATCAAACGAACACGCCTGACACGTTTGACAGCCCGCGGCGACAGATTTCCCCCAGACCAACCCAATAAGTAGCAGATAGCCGGTCCCGCACTGATGGGCAATGCACTAGCAGCGAGCGAGCGTCCGTCCCACCGTACAAGATGACGGGGAACGGGGAAATAAGCTTAACGGGCGTTGTGGCCTGATGCTAAAAGTTTAGTACCATCCGTATCGACTAAGGTCCGTAACCTTGAATGGAATGAAGAAATGTCTCTCATCTTGCTCGCCTCTCGGCCAATGAGAGTCGCATAGATGATGGGGGAGGGCAAGATACAAGTGACTACTAGGTACCTTAGCGAGATGGCCAGAGATTTCGCGTCCACCAGCCCCGGCTATCCATCTTCTTCATCCCCACGAGTCCACGACCCATTCAATTCCCCAGAGGCTCTCGAGTCGGGGCCCCAAGCTGGTCCGTCGAAATGTCAGATGATCTGCTGGTATCCGTATTATCTGCGCATTCCTGGTAAAAAAACACCACGCTCGTGGATGTCAACCTAAGGTAAATAGCTGGAAAGTCCGTCGGAACCACTCCCACCCATACTGCCACTAAGGTAGTTGACACTGCTCTTTCCTCCTCTCCACCGTTGCTCGATACACTGTGTGCCCGTGAGGCAATGACCAAACAGACGGTTCTTTGGAAAGCACGACCGGGGACAACCGGCGCCCCCTCCGTCGGGCGCAACACGGATTGCCCCAATGCCCCCACCTTTCCCCTCCTCAACCCAGGCCTCGAGCACTCGGCCATCCTCCGAGTCTTTTTCTCGCCAATTCCCACCTCTGCCAATGGCAACCTCCGTATTCGCCCCCTCTCATCCTCTTCATCACCATCCCCAGTCTTCCCCAATTTCTGCTTCCCCAGCATCTAGATGTCAATATCGAGTCTAGTGAAGGCTGGAGTCATCTACCCGTACCCCGTCTTCAATCCACCTCAATCCGAGTCATGCTGGGTCAAGTGGCCCAAGGCCAAGATACTCCAGACCTAGTGTTCCTCTCTGCTGGGCGTCACCACCAACCCAATCCACTGCTTATCACGAGTACACGACATGACAATGTTTGCCAAGACATTGTACCCTCAAGAAACACGCCATTGTCTCGACGTGCTTGCCGCCAGCGGAGCGCCAGTCAGCCAAAACTCCTCCCAAATCCCGGTCGCTACATCCAAGCTAATGTACAGCAAAGAGCAATCAAGCCCGGACAGCTCCAGACTCCAAGATGTTGATCAAACTTGTCCCGGCACTCAACCTCTCCGACCACCGCTGACCACTCACATCGTCCTCACCTGCCGCCAAGCCTCCTCTCGCCTCAACTTGCCCGGCCCTCATCTAGACTCAGCCTGGAGAGACGCCGGCCCGCTCACTCGCCGTGACTGAAGAGAGCTATCGACCACATACCAAATCGTTCGTCATCACAAACTGTCTCTCGGCCGATCGTTGCTTCCCGGTCCCCCATCCTCCCCCGCCTCTCCAACGACATATCCCCCTCAACCCCAAACACTGAGTCCCTGACTCCTCACTTGCGGAGAAGAACGGGTCCATCATCCTCGCCAAACCGAGCCCTTTTCGCATGCTCGCCACCTGGCTGGCCATGGGTTTGTCTGCAACCTTCGCATCACTCCACCTTCGTCACTATCCACTATTCGACTATGCTCCGGCGCGCATCCTGATCCTTACCGCAACGAGGAAAAACATCTGCAAGTGCATTTCCCGAGTATTTCGAGATCCCTTTCTAGCCCTTCTGGCCTCTGCTCCGGCCTGCTGCCGCCGCGTGCTACCCTGAGGCTTTTCTAATGCAGTATCCTACCATGCCTGCCGGTCGTTATCATAACCTTGGAAAGGCGTACCAAAAGACTCGAGATTCCACTGCGAACTTTGTCCGAATCTTTCGAAGTCACCGCTCTCAAACGGCGGTGCGCCGCAAGGCCCTACTGCGACGCTGCCTGCATGCCATTTAACTGCAATTGACAGTTCACAATGCTCCCAAATTTGCATGTCGCACCGATAGCACTATAGCTTCCGGCCAATTGGGCGATATACAGAGACCACGCCACAGAAGCAGGCTCGATACCTGACCGACACATCACCCACGAGCTCTCCCGCTGCTCCGGCCACCGTCTCACTGCTAAAGCGAATCCTCGCCAGACTAAGAAGGTTTCTAGAAGTCTAGAACCTGGAAAGACCGCATATGCTCGTATCTTTGGAATTGTGTTGCAACTAGCTTCCCAGCCTCATCGCCTGTAGAGTTTTCGACGTCTATCGCTACCTAGACGTTCCCCGATGGGCAGGCTCTTATCAGTCTGTTTCGAACCAAGGTGGATGTCAGAGAACGCCTGGCCTGTGACACCCCACGTCCGCGCTGCCTGCAACCCTGGGAATAGCTTGCAACAAGACACTCCCACTCTGCTTGTTTCTGATAAAGTGAGGGTCCGTTGCATGTGCTGCTCAACGCCTGCGAGTGCTAAGATTAGATGACAAGAGCAGGAAACAAAACAGCGTGGGTACCAGGTATGCGAGTCTGTTTCGCTTCGGATCGGCATCTTTTCTTGGGATCCGATGTGTCCGAAGTGACAGTTCCCAGTCGAGCCAACTTACAAGTTACTCAAGCACCAGATGTAAGAAACGCCAAGGCACCGGGCCCGTTTTGTCCCTCCCTTGGCCCGGCCTTTGCTCGACGTCGACAGCGTGGCGGCTACCTCCTGCTTGGCGGCAGACGTGACGAGACGTCCACGATAATTGCTCGCACGCTACTAGGCGCTATGCCATAAATCGCAACTCCGCTAAAGGGGTAACAACTTACTCGGTATAGGTCAATTGTCTTGGCTTACACACCATTGGCACGACCATGGAGCTTGTTTGCTTACCTTAGCTTTGGTCGACTCGTCCTCCACTACAACCACCCGTGCAACCTTCTTTTCGAGCCGCTAGCCTATCCAACGCCCGCTTGTCGATCAGTCTTGGTTCTGGCTCAGCCATTCGTTCCGGGACATCTTCGTGGTCCCCGACTAGGGCAAGGCTGTTATGGCTTCGGGGCGGATTTGCAGAGGACAAGGATCAACACTGACCATCGTCGGCTGCTTTTCAGAGGTTTTCCCCATCACGCATTACAACGATTGATGGGTTTTTTGTTTCCTTTGAGACTTTCGGAATCCTGCACGCCTTCTTGTAGTTCTGAGGATACACGGAGATTGCCTTCCGTTCTACTACACGTCTTTCGCATTTCGCTGCGGGGTTCAACATCACAACCAACTTAGCTGAAGACGACCGAAGGAGGAACCCACGCTGGCAAACGCGGAAGGAGAGTAAATCAGGTTGAATTTCTGCGTTGAATCTTGGCTTAGTGGATATCACCTTGGCATCTTACGACGTTGAAAAATGAGTCTTGGGGCTGTATGAGTGTTGCGTGCAACGCGACATTGAGCCCTGCCAATTCTTTTGCGTTGGATTTATATTATGCTCAACACTGCTCAACCATAGTAGCGTCTGGTTGGGTACCCCATTCCTTCACTGCGGATGTGTCTTGGCTCGAACAACCCACTGCGCTGTGACGGACACCTAGGTGCCGGGGGTGCAAGTAGAGGAGCACCATAGTCTCGAACTTAGGTATTGATGGTCCGTCTCCCCCCGCTCCCCCTCAGCATCCAATAGTCGAACATGACAAAGAGGTAATTATTTGAGTTCTCTAGCCGGCATAGAGCCATCCGGAATGTTTTCGTTCCGAAACGGGCCTCCGGATTTCGTAGACGTGATCCAACGAAATGGCAACGCTACTCTTCCAACTCTTTTCAACATTCTTTGTTGATAAATGGCGCATTCTTACTTGATCTTGCTGATCTTGCAGAATGAGGTCGGCCATTATTGTGGTTCAGCCTTGGATGTTGAGTCCTTTAGGTCTTTGAACCTAACGTGTTGAAGTCTACAAAAGAGAAGGCCGCAGACCATTCCGGAGTAAGGGTTGGCCTATTTGTGAGTCCAAGTATAGTACGAGCATTTTGTAGGGTCTTTTAGGTAGCCCTGATGTTTCCCTTCCTGTCATCTTTTCCACATTCTGGTGATTTTGGAGCGTCGAATCCCAGCGGGATCCAGTCCTGAATCGGGAGTCCTGCCAATTTGTCCGTACTCACCACGTAGTAGCCATGCAGAAATCTCACTCTCAGTTCCGCGGGGTAATATTATACATTATAATTATGCTTCAAAGAGGTGCAATTAGTACTGCTCTCGTGGTGGAATCCGGTTTGGACAGCACTTTTGCACTGCCGTGATCATGTCGATCCCTTACTCAACCACCAACGATACCACCGCAACGGGCGTAATCGGTAACACCTCCCTTCACGTCTCTCCTCTTCTGCCCTCTTCTTCCGTAGGCACCATCACGCTGACTTTCCGACTTCCCAGCTCATTCAATTATCGATCCCCCCTGAGACAAAATAGCGGCCCGGCTCGTGGGATCCCGATCGCCATATGAACTCCTCTGCAGAGACCTCAGCGGCGCCGTCCGTCTCGTCGGCCCCGACGCAGATGTGTTCGCGGTCCTCTCGCGCAATGTCGGCATATACACGGCCGGCCTTTTCTCCCATATCTGCCTCGGCTTCGACTCGGGCCGTGGCGTCTGCCTGCTAGATCTCCGCCGTGACGAAATCTCGGGCGCAGACAGGCTCCGTCGTCGACGATCTGCGGATGACACCTTGGCCGCCACATCGCCTGCTCCCCTCTCCCGTGGACCTCGCGCCCTGGACCCGTGGAGATCTCCCCACGAGGCACCCCTTTCCGCCCTCCGCAGACTCGGTGGCTCGTCGTCGCGGTCACCGTCGTCGAGCAGATCCAGCGTCGCGAGCCACTCTTTGGCCTCGCGTGCGTGCCTCTCGGCAAACGCGGCGCGCTTGAGGTGAGGTCTCTGCGCGGCTTGGATTTCCTCTGCTGACATGGCGCCGCCTAGCGTGGCGTGTGAGCCCATGATGATGCCGATGCCGGACATGACGGCCACAAGCGCAAAGTCGTCGTCCAAGAACGGCGGTGGCTGGGCCTCATGGTTCTCTGCGCCGGCGCCGGCGGCTGCGTTGAGGAATTGGAAGCCTATGCCGAGGTGCGGGCGCGAAGGGTCAATGGAGAGCATGGCGACGAGCTCCTCTTCGCCGTTGGCGTGAGCGCGTCGCGCGCGGTACGGCTGCGGCAGAAGCCGAGCTTCGTCGGGGGTGCGTTTGCGCCAGAGCATCCACCCATCGGAGCGCCTCAGAGTCCGGACGGTCAGACCGCGGCTGTGTCGCCATTCAAAGTCCACGTCGGTCGTCCTGTCGCCTCCACAAGGGTCGCGGAGGCGCATGGTGAAGCGCCAGAGGCCTTGGTAGCTTCTGCCTCGGACGAGGCGGCCTAGAAGCCAGCGGAGGCCTAGGGTGTTTGGTTGGCGGGCGCGGTCTTCGTGGAGGAGGAGGAGGAGGAGGGTTTTGGGGGCCAGCGTGTACACGCTGCATGTGGTGTCGCTGTCTCGGCGGTCGGGGCGGGAGGGGGCGGCTTGTTCGAGGTGGACTTGCATTGTGCGGCGGGTCTTCTAGCCCGGCATGTTGACGAGGCGGTGGGTGAGGTGGGCTATGATGGGGTGGGTGCTCAGGGGCCCGTCGTGGAGATTGATGCCGATTGCGTTGTCGGCGGCGGAGGGTTCGGCGTCGTGGGAGAGGTAGAAGAGGGGGTTGTTTGCTCTTTTGGCGAGGCCTGCGTCGAAGAGTGTGAAGGAGTGCGGGAGGAGACGGGGGGAGGTTGAGGGGCTGGAGGGCATTTTTGACTTTTGAAGTGTTGTCTCCTTTCTTTTTCTTGGTGAAGGATTCGTTATTTTGGATGGTTGGTCTGGGAGATGATCATGGTGTTGACGCGTTTGGGAGTGTGCTGTTGTGTGCTGTTACGTGATGTGCTCGAGGATGGAAATGACATTGGAGCAGTTGACCATGTAGATGTTGGGAGAAGGTGCAACCGCTAGTCGGGTCATGCCGTGAACGCTGCCGGGTGTGAGGGACCCACAGACTCGGTCCGGCTCGGCGTCTTACCGGTCCCGAACGTCTCCACAGCGGACACCTAAAGGAAAGGAGGCGTCGTGTCTTGAAACCCCGACCCGAGTTGCGTGTGTATCAACTACTCTATTCCGGATCGGATCTTGACACCTGTGAGACGTCGGAAGGTTCGGATTCTTTTAGCTGGCAGTACCAACATATATATGTATTGAGTAACCTGCGCAAGCTTACTCTTTCGGGGTCTTGATAAAATCTTCACAGACTCGTATCAAGGTACTCTACCCGCCCCAGAACATACCATGCAGTTACTTTCGTCATATTCTTGTATCTAATGACTCATTCTCCCGTGTTTCTCCTACCTATATGTTGCTCGCTGGACCCCAGGAGCCATCGCATTATTGAGGATCCGAATATTTGAGCGCAGTCATTGGCTGCGGGTAATTTAGACAGGCCGCCCGCCCTTTTGCGGCAGACAAACGGTTCTCTTACTGATGCCTGCAACTCAGCCTCGCCCTTAATCTATGCTCTTACATTCCGACTTGTTAGCATGGTTGCCTGGTACCGCACCATATGCTGCATGGAGTACAAAGTCCCTTCACAGGCTGCCAAATGGGGGTTCATCAATCATGACGTTCTGAATGAAACTTCAAATTGAGATTTCTGATCTATATTTTCCAAGCGTGTCAGGTTCCAAAGCACCTCGTGCTCTTATTTTGACCGGCAATGGAATCTGACTCGTCGGTGGTTGCTGGCTGCTTGGCTGTATGAGCTTTGGGTGGCTTTGCCCGAGAGCCTCGCCAGGAATCCGCTACGGGTTCGCTGTGATGTTGATATATTGTGTGTACTGATGCCATAGTTCATCAGTCTATGGCGGAATCATTGGCGATGCTACCAGGGAACTTTTACTCACTGTAAATCGCTAATGTAGGTCATTCCAGCACCCCGCGGAAGATTGATAACCTTGTTCCGACACGTCCGACCGACCTTTAGGCTATTATGCAACATGGAATTTTCCTTCACGACGCAGAGCTCGTTGGAGGCCTTATTCTATCCACCCTCTGATTTACTTTTGAATACATGTCAAAATATAGCATCAGGAAAGCGAGCATGTCATGATGTCATGCTCTTGGATTGAGTGACAGTCATGGGAGGTCAGAAGAATAAATCTTTTGCGGATGTTCAAAGAGTTGGCCGTTTGTGAATGCATTATAATTCGTTCAAAGATACCACCCTTCACAGTCGAAGATCAGATCAATGCCGGTAGGATCCGATAGCAATTGGATGAGGTTTTTTTATGTTCTTGGGATGATCTCTGCAGATGAAACACTCTGAAAGACCACGGCCAAGTACTTTGCACCAATTGATGGATGGGTATGCTTAACGGGACTTGGCTACCGTCAAGGGTGCTCATGAGTCTAGCTGCTCGGTCGATCATTAGCCTTGCGATCCAAGCTTCCCCTCTTTTGAGCCACGACAGATCTGCAGTGGGCAGAAGAAGAGAAAAGAAAGCCGCCTGTATCGGATGAAGCCGCACGCGCCAATGGCGGGCATGCATGCGCGATGGCATTGTGGCGGCATTCCCGCAGCACCAAGCGCAACCCAAATCGCACAACGATCCAACCACAGCAGACATCCGACGACTCCAATTGCATTGACGTCCCGGATGGAGGAAACAAGCTTTGATTTGTATCCAACTGCCCCTCCTTCATGCTGTGCGGCTTTGTTTAGTACCCCGTCTCGCTCATCTTGTAGACAACGTTGCATTCGTCTCATCATTTGGACTCTAGGCGTGGGCCTTCTAGCCCACGTTCTTCCAGATGACACGCTGATATTCCCCTCCTATAGAGATTATGCAATCTTTGTTACTTTGGCCAACGACTGACCAGGACCCCCAACTTTCTTGTCCCAACTTTCTTGGGTCCAACCTGGCATACAGGTTGATGCAATGAGCATGGAAGCGAGTCGAAGGTCAGGAGACGAAAATGCCAATTTCAAGGCAGAGCTGATGTGCAGCCCACCCAAGGAGTTTGCAGCATTTGTAATTCTGATTGTTCACAATTCGCATTTGAATGGCTGGCGCGTCTCTAAATTCTCACCAACTTCCTCTCTCCGACTTTAGAGGTCGGCGGCATGACGCTAGCCAGCCGAGTGACCAGGGAGCTAGAACTTTTGATTCTCGAACAGGTGTAAGCGCGCAATCCCGAGCTTTCTGCGAGACACCGGGGCTTTTTCTTTTTTGTTCTGTGCCGAGGTGTTCGTCACACCCAGACACCCTTATTCATCCAAGGTTACGTTTCTTCTGCATGAATAATCTACCCACAAAGAACACACCTCAAGAGGGTTCGGTGGTTCAGGCGAATCGCGAACGGACCATTTCTAACAAGTGGTGACTTCACCATGTAGCCAGACTATCAAATGCCGTCTTCGGCAAAAGGGGGGGAAATGCAACGTGGGGCATTTCCGAATCCCGCTATCAAACGGTCCACCTTGGAGGCCAGGCGACACCACCAAGCCTTTATTTTTAACCTTTTGCTTAGCATTGGTACTTACAAAACGGCTTTCATCTCAGCAAGTCAGCCGGGTAAAATAAGGCACGGTGGACTTCCCGAAGCATCCGTTGGATGTAAGCGTTTGAGTGAGACACCGCGCTGAGCGTGCGGGTGCTTTTTCGGAGGTTATGAGTAATCGCATGGTGGTTAGCCGTTGACAAGATCGATATGTTCGTCCACCCGGTGCCGTACAACCGACGTGGGTCCTTGTCTTACCCGTGCTAACCGTGTTTGATGTTCGCGATAGACCTAAAAGAGCAAGTAACGCGTCATCTAGACTACTATTGCCCCCGGCTCATACTACACTGTTCGTGCTCCACAAGGCTAGCCCCATATCATCCACATATCACGGTCCGGACGCCAAGGCTGGGAGTTTAATCGGTCCCGCGGAGTTCTACTCCGCCTTGCGATAGAAGATGGCACGGATTGGGTGATGGGAAGCAGGTTGGGAGAAGGTCAAGGGACGGCATAGCTAGCTTGGGAACCATCTTATGCCGTCTGAGAGCTTCTTGAGGCACGTTCTGAGTTCGTCCGATGGCATATGAGGGGTATAAGAAGACCCTTCTGTCCGGCCTTCAAAGGGCCTATTCTTCATCAGCTTCCAATCCATCTCGGAGCAAGACACTGAACCAACGGCCTTTCGTCGTAGCGCCATCTTTCCAAAGTAATCTGCGTCCTACCCACCATCTATCATGTATACCCACGGTGCTTTTCTACTAGCTAGCTTGCTTGCGGCTCTGCCACATAGCTATGCGATCCCAGCGCCACAGTCAGTGTTCAGAGGAGGACATTAGTGCGAGACGTGGCTGACAATTGAGCAGAATCGGAGACTATGGAGAAAACAAAGGCCCCGTTGGCGGTGTCAATCCGCCTATTCCGTCCGTGACTGCCCCCACGGGAAACCTCAGAGGAGATTCTAGCCTGCTCGGAGGCAATGCAGCTCGGCCGAACCCCGAGACTGGCGGCTCTGCCATCGTTGATGACGTAAAGCTCGTGCCTGGCCAGAAAGCAGACGGAAAGCTCGGCCTGTACCTCAACTTTGATGGTGTCGACGTCCCGCAGCCGATCCGCGGCGGATTAGGATCCCCGGATCCAGGGCCCAGTATGTTGCATTCCTAGCGGGGGGGGCGTAGAAGGGTGATCTGACTGCAGGGAAGCGGGAGGCGCTAACACATAATTCCCGCAGGAACCTATGCCTACGAGAAGCTTAACCCCGATCTCTTTGCCCCGCCGGGTACCGACAAAGGCGATGTTGAGAACGCCATGTGGCCGTTGGGCCTCTCGCATAACCGCCTCGGCAGCCAAGAAGGCGCCGGCTGGGCGCGGCAGCAGAACACCAAAGTTCTTCCCGTTGCTTCTGCGATGGCGGGGGTTGATATGAAGTTGCAGCCTAACGCGTATCGCGAGCTTCATTGGCACACCTCGGCTGAGTGGGCACTTATGCTGAAGGGATGCTGTCGCGTCGCCGCGATGAATGAGGATGGAAAGACTTTCATCGATGATATTTGCGAGGGTAAGAGACTCTTGGGATGATAGATGACACCCCCACGGCTGACCGAGATACACAGGTGATGTGTGGTTCTTCCCCAGGGGTGTTCCTCACAGCATCCAGGCATTCGACCAGGGCACGGAGTTCCTTCTTGTCTTCGATCAGGGAACCTTTAGCGAGGAGAATACCTTCCTTGCTTCTGAGTTATTCTTGAGAAATCCCTTGTCCGTACTTTCCAAGAACCTCAAGACGGACGTGTCTGCATTCGACAAAATCCCCAAAGATCAACTTTATGTAAGTCAACAGCCATACATCGCTATGGATCTTATGCTTACTTGTTTTTAGATCTTCAACGGAACACCTGCACCAAAAGACATTGAGAAGCAGAACCAGACCTCTTCGGCCGGATCGCTCACCGGTGCTGATTCATACACCTACCACTGGTCCCAACAGAAACCCTTCCAAGTCCCCGGCGGATCCGTCAAGATCCTCGACCCGCAAACGTTTCCCATTGCGGAGAACTTTTCAGCCGCCCTGGTTGTCGTCCAGCCCGGCGCCATGCGCGAAATTCACTGGCACACCACCAGCGACGAGTGGAACTACTTCCTCCAGGGTTCCGGCCGTATCACAATCTTCGAAGCTCCCGAGGCCTCGCGCACATTTGACTTCACCGCAGGCGACGTTGGCTACGTCAAGGTGGGCGACAGCCACTACATTGAAAACACCGGTACCGAGGACGTCATTTTCCTTGAGGTCCTCCAAGCGCCCAAGTTCTCGGATATCAGCGTTGCGCAGTGGCTAGCACTCACCCCGAAGCAGGTTGTCAAAGACACTCTCGGTCTCTCTGACGAAGTCATTGCTGCTCTTCCCAAGGAGAAGGAGTATATCAAGGTTGGCAACATCAACATGACCGCATTGGCGGATGGTGGACGTAACTTTAAGAAGTTCAAGGCTTAAAATGGCTTTTGGATTTTTTTCATTTCTCCTGTAAATATTTTCAGAAACGTCAACTGGAAGTCTGTGCGGTATAGAGGCATGTATTCAGTCATTCGAACATGTGGGTATTCGAATACCAGGAGCAAACATTACGCAATTAAGCAGCCTTTCATTGCCGCTCTTCTAAAGATAGGAGACTGGCTTTCTAGGGCCTCGAAAATTTGCTCAGTACGTCGTTTTATAAAATGTGCAGGCGTACATATAGATTCGAATGGCTGGCACATCACTTTGGGCCTGTGAAGCAGCTCAAAATGGCATTGATCTTCACACTCGGGAGGCTTCCGACGGTGCTAAAGATTTTGGCTTCGGCTAGTTTGTTCGACATCGGTTCTCAGAAATCCATTCCATGGAGGCGACAACATCGGCATAGGTCTTCTCAAATTCCCCAAAACCGTCATCCCATTGATTTAAGGGTATCTAGGCGTTTAAGTATAGTGGCATATTACACTGGCGCCCTTTATTCCTTGATGAGTGTCAGGGGCCTGACAAGGGGTGCTCTGGTGGGCCCCTATTAGTTATCTGAGGGATATAAATCCCTTCTCATAGAGCCAATTTAGGGGCCTAGCCAGGTTCGAATGCTATAAACTAAGGTACCGATACCTACCTCGAGATCCTTCCGTGAAGTGGCCCTTTGCTGACTTCTTCACTTGTGAACCACACGCCCTGACAATGGGCAAAAGCTAAACTGTTTACATGATGTGGACAGGCTGAAGGTATGATTGTTATTGCAGGGTACATGACTATCGAATTGTAGTGCTAATGACCCAGGAATTCCTTGACCTCGTAATTTTGCCTGGCATAAAAAAACCACAAAGATATCGTGATGACTGCAATACCCGCAAGAACAGCAGATGCATAATTCATCTCATCTGCAACAGCGGGTAGGTAATAAGGGAAACAGTAAAAAATCAATGCAACCGCCGACCATGTAAGCATAACAATGTTCGCAGCAAGGCCAAGCTTAGGATACCAAAAGGGCCCGTGGTTGAAATTCGAACGGCCTTGGGATAAAACCAAGATAGCGGGGATACTGTAGCTAATGTATTGAAGAAGCAATCCGGTGGAAATGAGAGAGTTGAAAGCAAGCTCAGACCCGAGGTAAAGGCACCCAAAGATCGCAGTCCCCGATGCTGAGAATATGAGTGACCAGGTAGGCGTGTGCAGCGGGGATGGTGCAATTTTGCTGAAGTGGCGATGCATAGGGAAACCAGCCTCGCGACTGATGGTCCACGCGAGCCGAGACTGCCAAGTCTGGATAGACCAGGCCGCACCGACGGTTGTGATCATTACGGGCACCCAGAGACCAACCGCGGCAGCCTTGCTGTCCGTGATGCGGTAGAATAAGGCTAGGGCAGAGTTGTCGTCGGCTCCGTCAATGATGGGAACGTTGATGAGGACCGACGTCACAACGAGGAGTCCGGAGACGAGGCCCACCACGATGGTCCACATCAGCGCCTTTGGGATATCCGTGCTGGGACGGGGCATCTCCTCTGCCAGGTGCGTGGCGACGTCGAGGCACGAGAAGCTCCAGTTGGCTCCGTTCATACCGATAATGAAGGCGATGCCGTTTGGCCAACCCGAGATATTCACCGACCTGACAAAAAAGTCCTTTGCCGAGGCGTGCTCGTCCGACATGGCGAAAAGAGTTATAAAGATGACGACGATGGTGGAGCAGCTGAAGAGCAACATGACCTTGGAGATCTTTGGCAACAGGCTCTCAAAGCTCGCCCCGAAAACGGTGACGATGTTGAGCAGCTGGAACCCCAGGAAGCCCATCCAGCGCTTATAGACAAAGTTTGGGTCAAGAAGTGTGATGATGGAACAGATGCCGACAGGGACGGAAAGACACGTCGACGAGCCTGTAGCGACGGCGGCAAGCCAGCTGATGACGGCCGTGATGTACGACAGGAACCGCCGAGATCTCGGCGACGCCAGCCGGTGGACCCAGATATACTGTCCGCCGGGATGTGGCATGGCGGAGGCCAGCTCCGCGAGGGTGGTGGCAGTCGCGAGGCCTACAAAGGCCATGACGAGGAACCCCCAGAAGAAGAGGGGCGGGCCGCCCATGGGTAAGGTGCTGCCGAAAACCAGCAGCAGGCCGATGGCGGTGTTTGTGGTCCCGTAGCCGATGCCGAGGGCGGATAGAGTTGTGAAAGGCTTCATAGTCTGCACGGTGACGTCGCCGTGGGGAATGGAGCCATGCTCCGCGGCTCCCTCGTCCGCTTTCTCTGGCATAGCGGCGATTGCGTTCCGAGTTGTGGCTGTTGGGGATCTGTCGAGTGAGGATGATCGCTGATTCATTGTGAAGCGTCTGCTTTGGGCATTCGCTAGAGGCGAGGTCTCGTTCAAGATGACTGACTTGATGGATATAGGCCCAGACTGTGGAGGAGGGAGAGGGTTAGAGTACAGGGAGAGATTCTCCCTCAAGTCTTGGGGGTGGAGTATCGGGAGACCATATTAAGTAAGGTGTATGCACGTTTTTTGTGCATGTTGTGTGGTTGTGTGACTGGCTACGTGTAACTTAGCAGCATGAAGTTCGAGTTGACCGGCCTGATGCATGTTGATAAGCCGAGATACCACCTCTTCCATAGAGGACCAGATCACTGAACTTGGTTCTTAGGGCTTTTGTGCTATGGGCTCGCATTTTGCACGCAGTTGCCAGATCCGGCAAGCCAGAGCGGGCCCCGAATCCGCTCCCGGTGCCCCGTATCCCGGCCACCCTACCTCGCCGACAACGGCCGGGTCACCGGCTCAAGTTCAACAGAAGGATTTGAGTAGTCATGGACATACAGAAATCATTTGATGGAACTAAAAGCTCAGGCGGAAGGATTACAAATTCTTAGAGCTCAGTGTTTGTATTCGCCCTTGTTGCAATCAAATTTGGAATTGACGGCCTCACTTGTCTCCCTCACTAGGGGGCCTTCAACTCATATCAAGTTTGATCCTGCAAAACCCCGAGCCCCTCAGTCTGGCGTCTTAACAATCCCCCACAATTCTGCCTTGACCAGAACCGAATGCAGTCGTACGGGGGGGAGGGTGGGGGGCATTAATCCGAGACGGCATTTGAGAGTCAAAGTTTAGATGGTATTGGGACTCTAGTGCAGACTTGAACTCGTATCAATCGAAACCATAGCCAACGACACATCTCACTCATTACCTCCCACCCCTCCCATCCCCAGGCCCAGCACCCGGCTCCCTCATCATAGTAAACAACCGAATCGCATCCCCCTCATCATCACAAACCATCTCCCTCTCAAACACGAACCCCCAGCGCCCGTAAATAGCCACGTTCGGCACGTCCCTGCTGGACTCGAGATAACACCGCACACCCTCAGCGTCAGCCCGTTCCGTCACGACTCTCATCATCTGGGCGCCGACGCCCTTTCCCTGCGCGGCGGGGAGCACGACCATGATGTTGAGAAAGTAGTAGCCCCGCGGGTCGGTCCAAAGTTCGCGTTGGGCTTTGGCTTGCGCCTCTTTCCAGATGTAGTACCGCTATTTCCGTCAGAGCGAAGTACGGGAAGTTCAGAAAAGAGTTGAGGTGTAGTATAACATGACCGTAGGCATTCCCACAAATGAGTAAATTCAATAAAAAGGAATATTGTAAATGTAGCATGCGTACCTTGACGTTCAGCCCTCCGCGTCCATACCACAGGTTATAATTGACCTGCCCAAACCACAGACGCCAGCCCTCCAGCCAGTCTTTCCACGTCGGCAGCGTATCCGCGGGCTGCGGAGGGAGCCACATGGCCACGCCCAGCACCTCGTCGCTGTCTTGTTCCTTTGCGACGTGGAAGATGCCGTTGCGCATGCCCCATCTCATGCGGAGCGCTAGAGATTCGTAGTTTCTTTGCGGGTTGAACTGGGTCACAAAGTCAATCATGAGATCTGTTTATCTCTTTCTGTCTCTCTCTCTCTCTCTCATACTACATGGGTCGCGGAAATGTCCAAGGTTGAGTGGCGTCCTCGACTACCAGCCAGATTGAGAATGGAGACCGCACCTTTGATTGATCGTATACCCAAACGTTGTACGGGTCGCCGCTGAAGGCTTGTCTGGGCGTATGCGTGAGGAAGGTCTCGGTATGACGTCTGGTTCCCCCCGATGCTTGCATTTACTTACTGTACCGCCTTGACTGCCCCTGGAATATCCGCTTCGGTGAGAGTTGTAACTTGGATCGTCATCTTGGATGATTTGCTGTGAACTCTCGACGGGGATGCGATGAGATGCACTTGATCATTAGGGATCAAACAAGACAGTGAGATGAGTGCCTGACGCTCTCAAATCCTTGCGGCTTTTGATATATTCCTGCCAGCCTCAAGGAACAACGCAATCAAAATGATATAAAATGGGTAAACAAATCACCAGCTGGTTGATAGCTGCAACAGCAAACTCCATCTCCCGATCGAGTGTGAGTCTGCGGGGTACAGATAGTGTTCGTGTAGGTACATGCAGATTGATTACCGGAAAAGAGATAAGATCGCATAGACTTTCCGCGAAAGGTAAAGCGGGAAAGGGAGCTGCATTGGAGGCCAAGCTCTAAAAAGAGAAAAACTCCCCCCTTCTCCCAGTGGCGGCGGCTCATTCACCGGCATGGATGAGAGCTGTGAGAATGAAGTTTCCCCCCCCCTTTGCCAAGGACCTCCGACTCACACCGATTCGCCATTCCACCGAATTGACCGACCGACAGCAGGAATTGGGCGTGTTTGGGTTCTTCCTCTTTCTTCCCCCCCCCTCAATTCCCCTCCCGGCCGGCTGATATTGGCATCTTATCCGTTTGCTAGGTATCCCGTCCAGCAATCCGCAACGGCCGCTTTCGCGAACGGGTCGTATGCGGGCAATCCGAACATTTGTAAACCTTCCCGCCCACCGGATGACGTCTGGCGATGGCGTGGCGAATGGCAAACGCATGGCCACTGCAGTCACTTTCAGTTCCTCTCCAAACTTTCTTCTCCTTCCCGCGGGTTCTTGTCCCATGTTTTCAATTGACAGACAGCCTGACACGGGGACACGGGACACGAGACACGTCAGTGACGCAGGCGCAGGCCGGCGCTGAGGCCAACCTCGCTCGTCCTTCTCAATTGAGCGGAACTTCTTTCGGGTGAAAAAAGGTTGGTGAGTGAGCAGGACTAGACACATCGACAACAGCAGAATTGGTTTATTTGAGGGACAGAGGTGTTGAGGATGTTAAAAAAAAAAAAAAAAAAAAAATGCCTTGGTATTCGCTTAATTATGATTATTCTACTTATGCTTATGCTCATTCGCCATGAGTGGTGTGTCAAAAGTCCACCAGGAACTGTAGTGGACGGGGGAAAGTCGTTGGAGGCTTCACTCGCTCATTTTCGAGGGCCTACCGATCCTTTCGTGTGAAATGAAGAAAATCTCATCTCAACATCAACGTGTCGCCATGCTTCCTTCCATGCATTCTTTTATCAAGAAATGGGGTTGGTCGGTTTCTCCAAAACGTGACCGAATGCAACGCCATGGCCCATAAATCCAAACACACTCACTTTCTTTTCTTTTCTTTCTTTTTTGGCTCCCTTACTGGTCCAGCCCACTCACAGATCCTTCTTCTTCTCGTCCTGGGGAATCGGGTTCCCCTTTTCGTCGACGAGGCCCTTTGCGCGCATGACCTTGAGGGCATCGTGGAGGGGGTCGAGCTCGGGTTGGGGGGCGCGGTGAGAGTCAAAGTAGTTATCGGCCCAGGTAAAGTATTGGCCGTAGTTGACGGTGAAGTACATGTGGTGGAGGGTGTGGTGGGCGGGGCTGTTGATGTACTTTTCGAGCCAGTGGCCCGAGATCATGTCGCCGTCGTGGATGAGGATGGTCCAGATCTGGACGAGGACGAAGAGGCCCATGTAGAGGTACTTTTGGATGGGGCAGAAGAAGACAAAGACGCTGGCGGGTGTTAGTCTGGATGCACGTGGGGGGTCACGAGATTGAGGCTCAATGGACTCTCCATTGGGTGGTTCGGAATATTGGGATTAGACTCACTGGTAGGGCAGAGACTGGACGTAGCCGTCAAGAGGGTGGAAGGCGAGGGCGGCCCAGGGCGTAGGCACTAGGCAGTTGTCAGTTCCTCCCGTTCAATGGACCGTCATTCAATGGTCTAGAAAGCAAACAAGTGAAACATATGAGGGGGTGACATACCAATCCACTTGTGGTGTGGCTTGTGAATGTACTTGTAGACAGAGGGGTGGTGCTCGAGGCGGTGAATCCAGTAAATGGCGATATCATTCCAGACCATGAAGACCAAGGCAGACATAGCCATCCACAAGAGACCGTACTCGTTAATGTGGGTGTACAGCAGACTCTTGCCGCGGACCTCGGCGAGGAAGAAGGGTAGCGTCAAAATATTGATGACGGGGACGGCCTTCATGGAGGAGATAATCTCCTGGCGGATCTGGTTCTTGAGGAAGCGCGGGTGGTGCTCGAGGCGGCGGTCAAAGATGAGGTAGTAGGAGAGCGGGCTGAAGATCCAGTAAAGGAGACAGGCGCCGACCTGAGTGATTGCGAAGATGGAGACGCATTGGCGCAGGATGCTGTCGCGGGGCCAGGCGGAGCCGTACGAGTTTGTAAAATCTGATGGTGCAAAGGAGGCGGAGGAGGAGGCGGAAAAGGCGTCGCCGGTCGCGTTGTATGCGACGCCGGTTGTGGTGGGCGCGGGGACGAAGTAGGCGTAGGCCTTGTCCAGGACGAGGGGGTCGAGGAGCTCGAGCGCGACGTCCATGATGGGCCGGCTTTGTGTACTTGCTGGTTGTTTGTTTGTTCGGCAATGGGAGCGCGCGAGGAGGCGTAGGGACGCAGGTGGGATGGCAGCTATCGAGTGCAGGCTGGTTGAGGGAGGGGGGAGGAAGAGATGGAGAGGCAAGAGAGGTGAGAGAAAAGAATGAAGAATGACGAAGAGTCAAGTTGCCGATAAAGGTGTTCCGATCAAGTTGCGCTCGCTCGCTCGCAGCTCGGTCGGTCGGTCGGTCTGTCGGTCTGGTGCTCTCCTCTTGTTGCTGCTGCGGCTGCTCAGGGGCAAACGAAATGGCAAAAGCATTTTTGGATCCGGTTATTTCACCCACATAAAATTACCTTACCTAAGTTAGTCAACCACCACCACCACCAGAGAGCTCCTGCGCGCTTGCGACCAGTACGGATACCATTGGGTGACAAGGGGCAGGACGGGAAAGAGGGATGGCAAAGAGTGCGACCACATCAGGAAAGACACAGAGCCAAAAAAAAGAAAGGCAAAAAAAAAAAAAAAAAAAGAAAAAAAGGGCCACCCGCGGGGACGGGGGCAGGACCGCGAACAAAGGGGGGACAAGGGGAAGAGAGGGAAAAAGGGATGGAAAAAAGAGCGAAACAACCAGAAAAAAAAAAAAAACAAAAAAAAAAAAAGGAAAAAAAAAAAAAAAAAAAAAAAAAAAGGGACCCACCAGACGAAATGACGGCGCTACGCTTGATCTGTTCATCTAAACCAGGGCGGGCTGATTGTTCCAGCCAATCATATCCACATCTGCCCTGCATCTCTGCCTCTGGCGGGGTCTTCTCATGGGTACGTACCTCTCCCACGACACCCGTACCCGGGTTCCCAGGTGTTCAGGAAAGGTACCTACCCAAGGTAGACACTACCCACGGCGCATTCGGGAGGTGGTGTCATTTTGGTAGTGGCTGCAGCGGTGGAGGGCAATCATGCAGCGTGGCAGAGCGCGCCAACACCGTACTTGTGCCCTCTGATTTGCCAATCGCACTCCCCATTGCACCAGATCAGTTTTCCTCCCCCTCCATCCTCTGCTGTTCAATGATTACTATCTAGGTATGTATCCGTAGGTGGATCATGGATGCGATGATTCGGCGTATTCGTCGGGCCCCTCGGTCTCCATCCGGCGCCGCGAACACGGAGTTACGAAATGCCCACAGTGGAGTCCGTCAGCCCCCCGAGTCCCGCCTCCAATGGGAATGCGAGGAGGATGAATAAAATCGGGGCGGATCTCTCGGAAACTCGTGCTGCGAGTCGAACCATCTTCTTTCTCCGTCTTCGCCACGGGTGAGCTCGGGGGGCGCTTGGGGACAGCATACCCCAGCAATGTGGATGCATTATCCTTTTCTGCCATCTGGATTTTCTGGGATCATCATCCTTTCGGTCTGTGTGGCATGTTGATGAGTCTCTGCTAGTACGATTAATCATCCCTCCTGAGCGAATCTATACCAAACCTCCTGTCCGATGGCCCTCTCACTTCTCTGGTGTTGTTGGGAGGAGAGAAAACCCCGCCCTTGGAATAAACAAAGATGATGTAGCCATCGACAAGTGCAATTGCATTTTCGGACGACTTGGGCAGGGATCCAAGGCCAACAGCAGTTTCGGCTGAGCCACAACGACTCGCTCGTTTGAGAGTGAAACCGAGATTGGGCAGAGCGATAGTGGCATGTTGCGCGAGCTCTCGTTGAGTTGCAACTTGCCTATCCGTACAGCGTCATACTTGGGCACTGTTGGTGATGAGTTGTAATGGCGTCGGCTGGTCTTTGAGCAGAGCTTTCGTATTCGTTTAGCATCCACCCAGTGCTCGGGCGCTCCACATGATCTACAGTTTAACCGTCAACTGCGGCAGAGAAGTAGCTAGCTACCCAATCACAGTAGACAACAAGCCAGTGCGTGCAGCGTGGCGTTGTCCGCGTCGAATCCAAGTTGGACTACAGAGTGCCTCGCCTTTGCCTAGAACTTGAGGTGGAAGTTGTCCAAGTCTCTGGCAGAAACTCTAAATGTTGAACCTCTGTCAAAAGACTCAGGCCGCAAGCACAAGTTGGCCCATTTTCTCTCAGTCCATGGTGCAGTATCGAGGGCTTTGCTTATGTAATTCATACAACGGGTATCCGTACTCCGTATGGTAGACAGCTTGCAGTGGACCAAGTAGGTAGGCACGTAGGCACTCCCGAATCCCCCATCGCCGCTGTTGACTAAGCCCTTATGGGAAGCTCATTCGAGATGTGCAACTTCCCTTCTCCGCAATCCCATCCCAACTCTCTCCTCTCTCTCTCCCGCTCTCCCTCCCTCTCTGCCGTGCCGTCTCCAACAACGGCGCGGAATCCGGGCCTCGCAGCGCCCAAGATCGGACGTGGGGACCTTGTTCGGACGTCTCGCCCTCCACAAACCAATTGCATAACGCATCCCTAGCCGGTCCTTTGTGTCGATAAGGGGATTAGACCAACGACGTCTCCCGCCCAAGACAGCGGTTCTCGCCCACCCCCCCTGGTTGGTTCACGCCCAACGCACACATCACGCATATCCCTAGACCAGCCGAGCCGCGCGATGCCGAATACGGGCAGGCCAAGTCCAAACTGTCACTTGTGCCGGAGCCGAAGGGTCAAGGTGAGAGAGAATGAGAGACACGATCCGAGACACAGCAAAATCCCAAAACGGGTCACTCCCGCCCTACCGCCCTACCGCCCTACCGTCCTACCGTCCTACCGCCCTCCCGCTCGCCAGTGCGTAGCGTCGCGTTCGTCGCGTATCCGTAATGTACCTGCTCATGCCTAGGGTTCCATGTACCTACCTACCTATTTGACCCATCTCATACGTGTATCCGTAAAGAATCATGCCTACATCGCAATGCAGCTGACATTGGGGGGGCCGACCGTGCCCGCGGCGTGAGGAAAGTGCGATTTAGGCCGGCCGCAGTGCCAGAGATGCATCAAGTACGGGGTCCAGTGCCCTGGGTACCGCGCCGATGATGGGATGCGGTTCCAGAACGCCGATCCCGCCTCGTTTGAGCGCCGGAGGAAGAAGAGAGGCCAGCAGCACCAGCAGGAGAAGGACGACGCCGCGGCGTCGACAGGCTCGGGGACCCTGCAGATAATAGAATTCACCCCGGATTCGTGGACGACGGCGTCGTCATCGTCGTCCCCTGCGTCGAGCCGGCAGCCGAGCCGGCAGTCCACTCCCGCCACAACCATCACCGTGACCACAACGACCAGCACAACCCCCAGCAGCACCACCACCGTCTCGAAGCAGCGGCTGCCCGTGCTCAAGACCCTCCGCCAACACTGGACCGCCGAGTCGGTACCGCTCGTGCTGGGGTTCTACCAGAGCCTCGACTTCCTCCCGGGGCTGTTCCGGGGTGTCGGCCACGACCACTGCCTCGTCCTCACTGGCCAAGTCTTCACCAGGGCCTACATGATCAACCGGTTCCGTCCGAGGGCCGACTACCGCGAGCTGTCCATCGTTCTCGGCCACGCCCTCGCCTCGGTCCAGGAAGCCATCGCGAGCCCCAAGACGTATACTTCAGACTCGACCATTGTTGCCGTGTGGCTGTTGGGGAACTACGAGGTGAGTTGAATACGGCGGGTGATAAACGGAGTCGTTGCAGTACACCAAGACCAAAACTCCCCTCCCCCGGGTGCAATGGTATCGTACACGGTAACGAGTTACTTTGCGGAGCAGGGAACTAAAAAGAACGTCTTGACAGCTGATGATTGGCGGGTTGGAACGGAGATCCTTCATAACCGCTAAAGAAAGGGGTTCGTCGCCCGAGGTTCCCTGGCACATCCACGGCCAGGGCCTCCTCAGCCTCATGCGCGCTAGGGGAGACCGGCAGCTCTACAATGCGTCCGGCCGCCAAATCTTTTGGGTCATGCACAACATGATTGTAAGTAGAAAAACAATAAAACTGTCAATCCACGTAGCCAATCTACACGGTAAAGACAAACATGCTAAAAAAATATAACCACGGGTTAGCAAGTCCAACTCACAATAGCAAACACGCCCTGCCCCCCCGATTTCGAACGCTGGCTCGACATTATCGAGAGCACCCTCCAACCGGGCGAGGGGCTCCTCCTCCAGACGGGGCGCTACCTCTCGGCGGCGTGCTCCCTGCTGTCGAAGCTGATCCCCCTGACCATCAGCGGCGACGCGGAGCGCGCGCGCGCGGCGTACCCGGCCCTCGTTGCCGAGTGCGACCGCGCCGACCTCGCCATGGCGGAGTGGATGCGCGCGGCGCCCGAGTACCAGATTGAGCCGGGGCCGGTGTGGGGCTACTTTTGGAACTCGTGGCGGAGCGCGCGGATCAAAGTGCACCACATGATGATTCTCATTTCCAACCTCGTCGAGTATGGTGAGCCGCCGCTGGTGCCGGCCGATTATGCAGTAGGTGGTGGTGGTGGTGGTGATGGTGGTGGTGGGTGCCCGTTGCTGAACCCAGAGGTGCTCCGCGCGCGCCGGGAATCCTGCATGGCCATCATCGCGGCGGCGGGGCGGGACGTGGCGGAAGGGATACCGCGGTCGCTGGGCGGCAAGATGCCGGACATGGATCCGGACTCGCCGGCGGCATACTTTGACGCGGTGCGGCTGATTTGGCCGCTGAGCCACCTCTACGTCATCCCGACGGCGCCGCGGCACCTGCGGATCGCGGCAAGGGAGGCGCTGGTACGGATCGCAAAGGAGAAGGGGATCCTGACGGCGCTGAAGCCGCGGGCGGGCGGGGTGCTGTTCCCGGCTGCGGCGTTGAGGGGGATTCCGGTGGATGATTTGGGGGAGGGCGAGGTGGTGGAGGAGGAGGAGAATCGGGCGAGGTTGGATGGGATCGTGACCAAGGTGGAGGCGACGGATTAAAGAAGCCGAGAGCTCGCGATGTCTTTGTAACCTATGGGTTTCCTCGGGGTTTATTTTTCAAAATGGTGTTTTTGGTGTGTTGCCGTCGTCTTGGAATGATTGTTGTTGACTTTTTGGGGATTGTGCTCCTGACACACAGCCCGTCGGTGTATTGTCTCGGGACTTTGACCGTCGGTGCTAAACTCAATTCGCCGACGGAGATGACATCAATGACCCATGCAGAAAAGGGGACTTTGTGCGCCTCGTCTTTCAGCTAAGCTCTGGAGGCTGCTTACGTTCGCATGGCTTGCTGCTCCCCTTCCCCCCATGGCCGATCACTGATGATTGCTCCCCGTCTTTGAGCCGATTACAACGGTACCGTCTGACTGCCACGACTGCCTAGTGCCTACTCGTTTCCCAGGGTTATTGTACGGCGCCGGTTCGACGTGATCCCCCCATCAAGACGATCCTCGCCCCCAAGTTGTTGCTTCGGAACCAAGCCTCAGCACGCGCGGCCGACGTTTGCATTCTACTTACTAGCAGAGGCCCAAAATCGCAGCCCATTCAAGGGGGGTTCAATAGACTCTCAAAGGGTCCAAGGGATGGATGGACAGACGATAGGTAGACATCCGCAAACGCCCAGCCCACCGTAGCTCTGGATCATGGATCTGCTCTTGCACCCTGGTCCAGTGGCTCAGGGAACGAGAAGCTTGTTTCGACGTTTTAGCGCCGAATCGTTTCTTGGTGCTGCGGCCTGCACCGTTGTGACTGTCTACCTAATGTGATGAATGGATAATTCATCCGTACAGAGTCAAGAGTCTGGTCCGGGGGCGGGGGAAGGGGGGGTGGTTTTGTCGTTTTTGTGGCGGAGTCTTTTTTGTGGGGGTGGGGTGCCCCCTTGTGGTGTTTTCTTCAAAGTGGTGAAAGGGAAAATTTTCCGTTCCAAGGTAAAAGGGTGGGTGGGGTGGGGGGTGGGGGGGGGGGGCCCGCGCCAAAGCGGCGCCGCTGGGGGGCGGGGACCCCCTCCCCCCCCCCCCCCCCCCCCCATGCCGGATGAGGAAATCGATTCGACCCCGTTTCTTCCTTAACCCGCCCTTTGAACTTTTGAGGTGAGGCATGGAGTAGGTATTCGTACCTGACTGGTGGTGACTGGTAGGATTTGCGCCGTGTGCCGGTTATCCGGTTCGCGGTAACCCTGTGTAGAGGAGAGAATTGCTGGCTGGTTGGCTGGTTGACTCAGCCACGGGATGGGATAGACACGCCCTGCGAATGCACATCAATCTCACATACAGACTACCATGTAAGCACGAATCCGTCCACCAAAGATCTTTGCTAAAGAGGGGAAAGAATACATACCGGTAGTATGGATCCAGAGGAGGCCTGCGCTCCGCTGGGCTTAGATTACGTCTAGATAAGGTACAGCACTACACGTCAACACCCTGGGGCGCTGCTAATGCGCTTCGTCCGCCTATTGGCCACGTTCGCTTCGACAGGGGGCTGAGTTTGGAACTAGCGGAGGATTTCTGTGAATGTAAGGTATTAAGCGAGTGCGAAGGCGACGCCGACGGGTGCAAAAGGCTTGTTTTTACTCTTTTTACAGCTGCCTACTGGCTATGGGGCTGGGAATTCTCTGGGAGGGCTCCACGCGCGATGTTAAGAGTGTAGTCGCGGGAAAAAAGATATAACTACCCGGCTTGGGGACTTGAGATATCTCGGAAAGAGTTTGAACCATCAAGCCAACCCACGAAACGTGTCGACCAACGCAGTTCTTATCATGCTTATACTCGAAACTCTCATCCAGGCCAGGGGCCTTCTTCGGGACCGGGACAGCAGCTCCAACAGCACCAAAGATGCCTGCCCAAACATCTCCCTCGCCGAAAGTCAGTTTTAGTTGCGGTGTGGTAATTCGTGGCATGGTCATTTAGCTAACAACGACTCGAGATGCATCTCAACCCCTCTTCGGCAACATGTCCTTTTACACATTCAACATGATTCTCTCCGGGAGCTTCGCCGCCGCTTCCTGTCTCATCATCGTCTCCCTCATGATCCTCCACGCGACGCACCTCAGCAAGAGCAACGAACAAATCAAGTGCGTCTCACCCCAATCCCCCCTAGTCATGTCCTCAACCCCGTATCAATCAACATTGGAACTAACAAACAAGAAAGAATCCTTCGAATCTCTCTCATCATCCCCTTCTGGTCCATCATCTCCTTCCTCTCCATCTGCTTCCCCACAGCCGAGGTCTACCTCCACCCTTGGCTCGAGTTCGTCCAGTCCATCTGCCTGGCCACGTTCTTCCTGCTGCTGTGCGAGTTCGTCTCGCCCAGCGCGCAGCACAGGGACGTCTTCTTCGCCGGCATGACTGTGAAGAATAAAAAGGCTGCCGGCGGGGAGCAGAACGGCCTCGAGTGGTACCGGGTCAGTAAACACGGCACACTCTCCATCCAGTGCAAGTGTCATGGTCTACATTTTGCTAACGCCCCCCGGTTGCAGAAAATGTGGTTTGCCGTCTTCCAATATCCCGTCGTGGCCCTGCTCGTCGCCATCTTGACCGCCATCACCCAAGCTGCGGGCGTCTACTGCGAGTTTGAGAGCAAGGTGCACTTTGCTCGACTATGGGTGAGTTTGCATCTTCCCTCTGAGCCGTCAAGACTATAACCAAAAAAAATAAATAAAAACTGACATGACGTTTGCGAAATACAGCTGCAACTCATCAGCAACGCCTCACTCACGCTCGCCCTCATGACGGTCATTCGTTTCTTCATGCAGCTCAAGTCCAAGCTATCCCACCACCAGCCCATCGCCAAATTCCTAGCTTTCAAGCTCGTCGTGACCCTGACTTTCCTCGAGACCGTAAGCAAAAATCCTCCATCCAACAATTAAAAAAAAAAAAAAAAAAAAAAAAACCCAAGGCTCCGTCCTCGCGCTAACACCCCCCCCCATGACAGATCATCTTTTGGATCCTCAAAGACACCGGCGCCCTCAACCCGACCCCGAAACTCACCAACGCCGACCTCCGCATCGGCATCCCCTCCATGCTCATCTGCATCGAGATGCTGCCCCTCGCCGCCTTCTTCCACTACGCCTACTCGCACCGGCCCTACGTCATCGGCAGCGGCAACGTCCGGCGACCGCTCGCCGGCGACCTCGAAGCGTACGAGCCCCAGACGTACTCTGGTGGGCCCGGCGGCGTCTGGGCGCTGGTCGAGATGTGGAACCCCATGGAGACTGTCGAGGCCATCGTCTTTGGCCTCAAGATGAAGGCGGAGGAGAGGAAGCAGCAGCAGCGCGGGAGGGCCGGGTGGCAGGCGACCAAGTATCAGTCGGTGGATGAGCCGTATGAGATGGGTAGGAGGTGAAGCGATGGTGGAGGGCGAGGTTGAGGGGCGATGCTTATAGATTTACACTTTTTATGACTTATAGATTTTCCAGAGAAATATACCCATTCAAAGTTCCCTTCTTTTGTGCTTGCCAGCCTTTACTATAGCATCAACTTTTGGCTATTCGATAGAAAGCTGGTGGGGGCTTTCCAGCATCATCGAAATTTTGGACCTCGATAACTGGATATCTTGACGAGGGAGAACTACATCGGACCAGGAACACATAGAACGCCCGCACTGAACAAGATTTCCGCGTGTTGGATGATTGAGTAGCATTCGATTAATGCACAGCAGCTTATGTATTTCTCTATTACAGTGTACATTATATGTAAGTTGTATTCGACGTCTAGAGCGCGTTGACCTTGGCGGCATGCTCGTAAACCAGCGGCTGGGCCTCGGCATCATCCAAATAGATGGTGAACCCATCATTATGGTTGCGGCCATACGAGTAGTGCGAGAAGCCAAACTGCCAATACAGATCCGGCATCTCCTCCTCGAGCGTAATCGCCTGCCACTTGCCCAGAACCTCCGTCCGCGGGGTATCGTCCACCACCCCGAGGTTCGCCAGCCTCGCCTCGGCCGTCAACCAGCCATACTCCTCATGCACGACCGGCTTCCCGACCTTGCGCCCGGACGCGGCGTGGTCCCGGATCCACTGCTCCGTCCACGCGACCGTCTTGCTCCACCAGTCCGGGTACGAGTGGAACACGCCAAAGTCGACGTCGGGCAGCGCCAGCTCGTGGTCAAAGTCGCTGCCGTCGGCGCCGTTGTACGCCCAGTCGTCCGACTCGATGTTGAAGCCGCCCTCGCCGCCCCACGTCACGAGGTGCTTCTTGTCGAGGGACTTGACGTAGGCGCTCAGCTCGGCGATCCAGGTGCCGAGGCGCTCCGGGGTGCAGTCGTCGCTTCGGGGCAGGTTACGGACGGCGTCGCCGCCGCAGCGGGGCTCGTTGGCGAGTTCCCAGGCCATGATGGCCGGCGAGTCCTTGTATCGGGTGACCATCGTCTTTACGTAGCGCTTGAAGGCGTCCTTGATTACGGGGACGTGGTAGAACTATTATCATGTTTCGCGATTTGTCAGTGACTGGATACATGAATTGTAAAAGTCTGTTGCTGGGAAAAGGGGTGGGGGGGAAGGTTTGCTCACGTCGTCGTGGTACTTTCCGCCCAGGTTGACCGTGTACACGTCCATGCCACCGTAGTCGGCCCAGTTATTGACGAGCGCGACAATCAGCTTGATGCCGACCTTTTCAGCGGCGTTGACGACCTTGTCAAAAGCCTCAATGTTGATAACGGAAGTGCCGTTGTTCCACGTCTGGAAAACAACGCTGGTGTCACCGGCGCCCTCGCCGCCGTACTGAGGCAGGCCGCCGGCGGTGTAAGTGGCATTCTTGTCGTTGAAGCCCCAGGTGCGGAAGACTTTCAGTCCAGCTTCCTTGGCAGCTGTCAAACCGGCCTCGACATCAGTTTGGTTCTAGCGGACACCGTTAGTCTCGACGACATCTTGCCATAGACGGTCAATTTGGTTGGGGAGGGGGCGTGGGGGTGTTCACGTACGTTGTCAAAGGGGAAGTAGTAGGCATTGCTACCAGCAAAATTGAAGTCCTCGCCATCGAGCTGGAACTTGGTGCCCTTGACCGTGACGAAGCCCTTTCTGATGCAAGCCGCGGATGCAGCTCCGCTGGCCAGGAGGCCAATCGAAAGCAGACTGGAAAGCTTGGGTAACATTTTCGGTTTGACTGGCAGGAAATGCTTGCAGCTTTTTCCTAGCCCTCATCCAGATAACTTCTCACTCTCTCTGTCTCGCCAGACGCACAAAATGTCTTTCTGAATATGGACATCTACTGTGGTTGGGCGCCATATATATTGACCCTGCCTCCGGAAACTTTACATCATGGCACGCAACGTGAACTGAATCATCTCATCCGGGGTGTTTCCCGATTCGAACCACGGAGACCGTTGCGCCGCCTGCCTCGGGGTACTTTGGCCGGGGGCATGCGGGGGAAGTTGGAGTTGCCAAAACGAGGGACCGCGGCGCTATGCCGCTTTCAATGCGGAGGGTTGCTGCCCGAGAGTTGGGGTTGGTGACGATGGCATGGAGTGATACTGGAGTGAGAGGGCAATTGACAAATCACAGCTTTAGATGCGATCGTACCTGAGGAAAATTTTCAGCTTGAAAAATCATGGGATGGTCCCAAATGTCATCAACGCGCGTAGCATTCCCGGCGATTCTTAAGCAACGGCGAGATTTTCGGTTGAAAGTGGATAGCAGCAGAGAAGGGACAATGACTACAAACGTCTCTCTCAGACATCGTGACAAACCTCCACGTCTTTACACTGTACACCACGGCTGTTCAGGCCCACCGCGCATGCAATCATCTGCAGCTATGTCCGTACATAGTATATTCATGCCAAGAGAAAGCTAGCGCCAGGGCCTTCTGGCCGATGGGGTGAACTACTTGTTCACCTGATTAACAGATGTGGGGAATTAGTTGTGAAGCTGATGTAAACTCCCCTCTCCCCGACAGATCGTCGTGCAATGTCCCCGCGACGGTTAGTCGGATAGTCTTCCTGAGCGATCCCAATTGAGCTCAGGAACCCTTCACACGGGACCGTCTCTCGAGTCTCCTACACCGCCTACATCCCCTGGCACCCAGGCGAACGCGGTTCGAGTCTCTCGCATCTTCCATCACTTTGCTAGAGAGAGAAAGAAAGCTTTATTGGCGTGCTTTGCTAAGATACTGGGCCAATCCATCTCAAGTCGTTGCCGCTGCAGTACATCGCTCGACATACTCCCATGCCTCGGCGTGGACCAGGCAAGCCACGGCTCCGAGCAGCGGCCGAGACCATGCGGGGTCGTTGAATCGTGATGCGGGGTAGCTTTGAGCTCTACGACGATCCCGCCAATTTGAATACCTACGTGTACTGCCTGTTTGCTGTAAGGAAGATGCAAGAAGAAATCACCAAAACCACGACAGCTTGTTGCTGAGTCGCCAAAAATAAATATGCAATTTCTGATTTGCCAAAACGTGGAAAAACCATGGAAAGCATTTTACCTACATGAATGGTCGTCGTAATGCTGGCGATGAGGTACGCTCCAGCGAAATGGTCTCTCAGCGCCCACTCTTCGCGGAAGAAAAAGTCAAAAATCAACCGCCGGATGGCTCAACTGTGAATTGCCTCGTGGCGGAATCGAACCGCCGATCTTCTCATGTCACTAATACTAGTGAGACGCTATACCACTTAGCCAACAAGGCTTGCATTCCGGGGCTCCAGTTGCGGAATATGTAGGGCGGTGACGACAGGTGGGACGATGGGTGGAACTGGTCTGAGAGAAATGGGGCAATTTGTTCCAAGACCACCGCAAGAAATATGTAACAATACGCAGAAGGCGTACAATTGTAAAAGGGGTAGACTCCAGGGTGTTAAGTTATTCGTTAGGCATGATGAGACCCTGCAAAACGCGGGATACCTAAGAATTTGTCTGAAATATTCCCTTTGCTAAGAACCGTCAACCTAAGGTTGTCAAACTTCGACTGGAGAAGTTCCATTCACGTGGCTTCAGGAAGGTTAGAAGTGAGAATTAAAAGCTCTAGTACTCTAATGACATAGTTTGTCGCTGTCATTAAACTTTAAGATTTGGGTACAAAGTCTTTTTCTATTACTCTTCTCACTTAATGTAGATACGACAAAGCAATTGACAAGAAAAGACAACTCAAAGATTTCATGTGTTTTTGAAAGGCAGCCAAGTAAAATGCGCAACAGGTGCGCTTCCTTACACTTACCTACATGGGTTAAGCTGAGAACCACTGCTTGCAGTCGTTGGAGGCATCCTTTCCCGCATTCCTGCTAGAATTCAGAAAACAATGGGATTCATAGAATGCTGTAACATCTGGCTTGTTAGTTCCCAAGACAGTTAGATACTTGACATTAGTGTGGTCAAGAAGAAGCAGAGATCTATAGGCACTTCTAGAATTCCTCGCCATTTGCACATTTTCAAATACTCGCACTTTAGCTTCCCCTGGACCTACCTAATTAGGTATGTAAGCGCTTTAGTCTTAGGATCCCATCGAGTCAAATAAGACGGAATCAAAGCCACAATTCCCGCATTTGGCGTACCATCGACGGGGCTGGTCCTCCGCGACTCCAACCCACTGCCGAAACCAACCAATTACCGAAATTAGTAGGCTATCGCTGACGACCTCTTCATCAAAATCCGGGGAAATCCTGGGGCATGGCACGTAGCATGCTTCAAGCGTCACTTGATTATGGTGTGTTGGGAACGTCCACGGGGTCCTACCTTCATTTACAGCACGATCGCTCACTCGTCGGGTTGCCTCGTCAAGAGCAACGAGGGATCCTAGCCAAGACTCAGAGCCATGGGATTCGTATATTGAATCATACGATTCATTTACTACCATTACAAGTAACCAGAACAGAGGTCTGTCAAAATCTATATATCAGTGACGTGCTACGGCTCTCTCTTTTCTGTTGACATCCTCCCGGGCCTCAATCTACTTTTCCCGCTTCCCAAGCTTTGATCGCCATGAAGACTGCTATTATATCCCTGCTGGCGATCCTAGCCAATCGGGTTTCAGCACACGCAACCTTCCAGGATTTGTGGATCGACGGAGTCGATGTAAGTTGTTGAAGCCTTCGACAGAAACAGTGCTTAACTTGTGCTGACTATAAGTACCTTAGTTCGGCGGACAATGTGCTCGACTTCCGCTGTCCAACTCGCCCGTCCAAGACGTCACTTCTAATGATGTTAGATGCAACGCCAACGGCGGCCCAGTGGCTCGCAAGTGCGTAGTGAAGGCCGGATCGTCCGTCGTAGTTGAGATGCATCAGGTGCGGCAGACACGTTCCGCATGGCATGAGAAATCCCTCACAGAGCTGACACCCGGACTTACAGCAACCCAACGACAGAACATGCGCCCAAGAAGCCATCGGAGGCGCACACTATGGGCCCGTACTCGCCTACCTAACCAAGGTCTCCGACTCTTCGACCGCCGACGGCTCGACCGGCTGGTTCAAGATCTACCAAGACGGGTGGGCCGCCAAAGCTGGCAGCGTAAACGGCGACGGCGACAACTGGGGATCAAAGGACATGAACACCTGCTGCGGCAAGGTCCAGGTCAAGATCCCGTCTGACATCCCGGCTGGAGACTACCTCCTCCGCGCCGAGTCCATCGCCCTGCACGCGGCCGGCTCGAGCGGTGGCGCCCAGCTGTACATGACATGTTTCCAGCTCACCGTCACCGGCGGAGGCAGCTCCTCACCCGGGACCGTCTCGTTCCCTGGCGCGTACAAGGCTTCTGACGCTGGCTTGCTCGTCGACATCCACAGGGCCTTGACCACCTACGCCGTCCCGGGCCCGACTGTGTACGCGGGAGGATCGACCAAGAGCGCCGGAGCTGCGTGTGTTGGCTGCGAGTCGACTTGCACGGCGGGATCTGGACCTACCGGAACGGCATCGAGCGTGCCGCTGCCGACGGCCTCTGGCGGCTTGCCCGGCTGCACTGTTGCCAAGTATGCTCAGTGCGGCGGCGAGGGGTATACCGGCTGCACTACTTGCGTTGTAAGTTGTCATTTTGTCCTTGGTTGTATGATTTCTTGACGCTGATATTGTATGAAGTCCGGTTCAACGTGCCAAGCTGTTTCAGCTCCCTACTACTACCAATGCGGTTAAACTTTGTGAACTGTTGGTCAAAGTATGAGCGGTGTCTTTAAGCATCATTGAGGATCTTTCGAGGGCGATGGATGGAGGCTCTTGCGATGTTATCGAAACTTATCATTCTCCAGGCTGGGAAGCTGTCAAAGGCCGTCAAATGGGCGGATTGCATCCAGATTCATCAGAGGCTGGATCACCAAGATAATGTCATGTACAACACAGCATCACTAGTTCTCTTGCGAGTGCCCCAGTATGACTTAGTAAAATAAACTTTAACTTTTGCTACCCCCCTTTTGCTATCTATCAAGTTTCAGACAAAGGTTGTAAGACACACGCTGTCATGACCTCCCGTCTCGATGCTTCCACAATCGTCAAACTGGACCTTCAGAAGACGTCAACTAAGTTTTTTGCCAGGTAACACTCTATAGTAAAGTATTGTTATTATCATGTTCCACGCTCTATTTGTGGCGAGAGCGATTCCTGTCTATCGCTGCAGCAACCTTTTCGTCGTTGATGAGGCGAAGAGAACTACCAAATCAACCACCCAGTGTGGATTGACTCGACGACTGCTACAGGCCTCATTCTCAATGGTCGTGGGAGATCAGTGTAGTTGGCTTGTTTCTCTTAGCCGTAATGATTCTGTTTTTACTACCACGTGTTTTAAATCGAGTGAAGATCTATTTCGGCTTATTGACAACGAAGCAATTGCTGGCTATCATACACAATGCTGGGACCTCAAACCAGAAAACAGCAAAAGCAGGCTTGATTAGTACTTGAGAAGAATATGATACAATCAGAATAAAACCTTTACACCCTGCACATCTCACTCAAATGACTCATACATCAACCATAAACCTCTTTCTGCCAGATTTGGAGCCAGCCCTGGCGCTCACGGCGGCCTTACTTGAATCCTCAGAGATGGATGTCCATGCAGCAGGGTTGTGTACCTTGACTCTCGTTTTCGAAGAGAATCCTGCGCATTGGATTCATCATCTGTTCACCGACCCTCTTCCTCACCTCCCATTTCCTCCTCAACATCCTGAAACGATACATGTACCGATTGCGTGCCGAATCGACTGCCTGGTCTGTCAAACCTGGGAGGCTCTTGATCCGTTCTTGACGGAGAGTGCCCGCTATTCCCGGGCGAAAAGCCGTTGCGGTCTGTCTCATTGATATCCTGTTGTGCGTTTTGTCTAGAACGGCTTTCTCTTCTCGAGTACGCTCTTCTAGACGAATGTGGCACGCCCCCGACCCAATAGGCTTCTGAATGTTCAGCCTGCCTATATTGCGGAACGGGCCCCTGATGATGTATGTGACCAAAGCCTGACTGTTTCGGCATGAATGGATTGCCAGATACAGGAGCGGGAGTATCCCAGTTCTGCGACGGTGGTCGAAAACCGCCTCCCAAGAAATGGGCCTCCGAGGCCGCTGGTCGATCAGGTTGTCTCTCGAGAGCCTGAAAGACTCCGCTCTCTCTCAGAGTGTCAAGAAAAACAGCTTTCATTTCGTTTCGAAATTCCGTAGGACTGCTAATGCTGGAGCTAGTGTCGGAGCGATGCATGCGTCTGCCAGGCTCTGAGCGTAGGTCCTGGATACTATTTTCGATGCCTTTTTGCAACTTCCTCATCTCCTTGACCCAAGAGGCTTTCTGTGCTGCCGCCGCTCTTTGTTTTTCTCGAGCCCTCTGTCTTTCATACTCTTGCTGCTGCAAGTACGTCAAGTCGTCCAGCCTCCTATGCACTTCATCCAGGCTATAGCGAAATTCATGGTCGACAGGAAAATGCACAGTTTGCTTCAGAGGCTTCCATTGCTTTGGAATCGGCTGCTTTTTGGGTTTTGGGACAGTTGCGTCCGGATAATAATTTTCCTCGAATGGCGCTTGCTGTGCGGCTTTCTGGAAGTAAGGGTCTTGACGGCTGCTTTGGAAAGAAGTTTGCGGGTGGGGCTCGGCATAAGCATGGCCAGGATTTCCGGAAGAATATGGGGGAGGGAATTGTACTCGAGTTGTTGGATGGTAAGGATCAAACTGTGAAGGATGTGTGAATGGCGGCTGTGCAGGAAAATTGTGCCCGCCCATCGGAGCCGTCCAGTCGGCAGGATAAGGTGCCTGATAGTAAGGCTGCATTGGAGGCGCGTATATTGGATAAACGCGTAGGGGAGGGGGAGGGGGAGGGTAAGGAGGAGGCATTTCGGTGTAGATCATCGCCTGGATCTGGGGCTGTTGATCGAAGCCTTGAGAGTTGTTCGGACCAGAATACGGTGATGCGGGATTGCTATTCAAAAGGACTCCCTGCCCCCAAGGACCTGCGATACCTTCGAGATGGTCGCGCTGATAAGGGATTGTCTGTCCGGTAGTATATCTTGCCTCTTGAAAGTTGCCAAAGCTGTCTGGGCTGGCATAGATGCCGTTTCATCCAAGTTGTGAGGATGGATCTTCAGACTTGTTGACAGGATTCGTGGGACGCTGATGGTACCTATACGATGTTCTTGGCTCCTCCAATTCCGAGTCGCTACAGTCAGTGTCATCCGACGCACTTTGTCGTTGGGCCCGCTCGCTTTGCGGAGGATACGAAAGCGCTCCCTAAGCTTGGTATATTGCGGTACGAATGGCAAGGGTAGTAACTACCAAAGGATGAAGTGATGACTTTCACAGCATGCCGTCGATTCCTAACGAATATGAATAGTGCACATTGGCCCGATTTGCTGAAATTGGGACTCCAGGTGTGGCTGCTGCTTTATATTTGCGGTGAATTACAGTCCACGTCGCCCGGGTTTATAAATTGTGCACGAGAGATGATGGGCCCTTTTAGAAACGTTGAACTGCTCGTAGGCCTCTAAAAGACTGACGTCGAGCATTCATGTCATTGGTTCTGATATGCTCAATGGGGGGAAGTCATGCATTATGCCGCTATGAACGGTGGCCACCAGTTCGAGGTTCCCACAGCCGCTCCGACCACACAAGCCGCCACTTCGGCCGTCCCCCAACTCGTTTTACTCTTGGACAGATGGACTTAGCATGAGCTTCAAGCAGGCTATGCTGGAGATGCAGTTGCCTTATGGACGCCTTGGATTCCGCCTTGAATTCAATCGACTTGGTGCAGCGTACATATGCGGGCACTGGCGCTAAAATGGCGCTAAGGTGTTGCGAGATACAGAAAACTACACCGATACCGATGCATGGAGTGCTTCATACACGAACGGTGGTAGGGGACGAAGCCTTGGCCAATGTCGACAACCTCAGCTTCGCGAGGCAAAGAAACTAGGTCCAAGAAAGTTTACATGACAATTTTGGAAGTAAAATATCCCGGATCTGAGGGCATGGCGTTTTCAACAAGTCTTTTCAAGACGAACAGAGCGAAACACTCGTAGAGCGTTGCAAGGTAACGTGAACCTCGAACAGGCGGGCTATCATGCAATAAATATGCATGTGGTGAGATTTGGCAAACGACCATCCGATAATGGTGGCAGTGTTGACGTGTTTTGGAACAAGCGGCGTGGGGATTTTGAGCCAGTAGGATAGACCAATGCCACCGAGATTCCGGTGTGAAGCTCAGCCCGCGTCACACGTTTCTATTTAATCCTCGTATTCCCTGTAAGTCTGGTTGGCCCAACGAATTGAACGTGAAGCGCTTCATATGATTCGTTGGATCTTCGCTCGAGGGCATGGATTCAATCGTTTAACAAAAGAGAAGCTGCTGGATCCTCTTCGCGTTGGTATCTTCATGGTGGTGACACCACTTCAACTGGCGCATCTGTCCGCACAACTTCTTCAACTGCGGCCTTTCAAGATACCGAGTAAGTACTCATCTCAGATACCCAGTTTTTATCAAGGATTATCTAAGCATCACAGAGAGCACTATTACCGTCATTCAGTCATTACTGGCTACTTTTGATGCGATCAAGCACATCAACGGTATACTCGCCGCCTTCAAGGACGTGGGGAAAAGCCTCCCTCCCGTCGAAAACATACTGCAACTCGCTCATGACGTTCTCAAAGCCGAGAAGCCAGACGCAGCGGCGGAGAGAAAAATCACAACCACTTTTAGAGATTGCTAAAAGCGAGCTTCTACATTGCGCTATATCTTCAAAGACATAGAGGGCAGCAAGAACCAGAACAAAGAAGTCAAGGAGTGGTCTGCTCTCATCCAGTTTTACCATAACAAAGTCGAGAGTCTGATGCAGAACATACTCAAAAAATCAAAGGTCCTTGCCATTCGCCAAATCTTCAAAGCAAGCGCCGAGTTGCAGAAGTAGTTCGACGGTCTGGAGGGCGCCATCCGATCTCTGTCAGAAGTGGCCCCATCCCTCCCGGACGCGGACTTTGATGGACCAGACAATAACATCTCAACGAACAACTACAACAAAGCGACAGGCTTGGTTTCGACCGGTAGCAATGCGTATATTTCTTTGGGGAATAAATACCATTCAAGTCACAACGTGTACTTTGGTGACAAGACGGTGGTCCTGTCTGAAATGCTTCAAGTTACAGAAACGCTGACGACAGGCAGTTTTTTCCCTGTAAATCATCACTACCAAGTCTCTCCTGCTGCCAGTCCATTCCCATTTGATTGAAATGATGCTGTCTGCTGTTCTCACAACATGAAGTGAATCGCCCATACCTTCACATTGTAGACTGTTTGAGGCTAGTCTCGCGGCCACTGGATGCTGCAAAGACACAGACCGAAACATTCCAAATCGCTCGAAAAACACCAGGCTTAGGACATGTAATCCTCAACTGTCAGCCTTTGAGGAATGGCGAGCTGGAAATTTCAGAAAATTCCGGTGTTATGGATTGCATACGATGACTCTTCCGTTGACAACTCAGAGTAGAGCTCTAAAAAGACATCCTTCTTCTAGCTGGAGCTGGGAAAACTGTTCTTGCGTAAGAATTCGATTTTTTGTTTTGCTCAAAACTTTGGCCGAAGACATGCTCAAGCTAACGTACATTTGCCAGATCTTTTATCATTGATCACCTCTACAATCGCTTGGGACACCACAATAAAGAAGCACAGTGTGTCTACATTTACTGAGACTAGTTACCTTACCTTACTTGAAGCAATCTGAACAGGGAATCAGCAACATTCTATCCATGATATTGTTACAACTCTTAGAGACTCACGATGCTTTTTTCACAGAATCACAACGTGTAGTCAATGCCCGGAAAAAACTCGACAACCCCTAATTGAGGATGACTAATTCAGAGTGGTCGCGTCCCATGAGGAATTATTCCCCATAGTGTATATGGTCGAAGACGCTCTAGATGAGTGTCTCGAGAACACCGAAGTCAACGCGCTAGCCACGTTTATGGGCAAATGCCGGAGTCTGCCAACGAATTGCAGAATGATTTTCACTTCTAGGCCTATATCCGAAATCGGTCGAATGATAAGCCCAGATTTCAAATATGTAGTGAAGTCAGACAACAGCGATGTCAAATCATATTTTGATAAATTCATCAAGAGTCATTACGATTTCCAGGCGATAGTAGGGAATGGCTGCGAATTAGATACATATTTCCGAGAGAAGGCCTTGATGAGAATCATGGAAAAGTCTCAAGGAATGTAAGTGTCATGAATATCAAGAGGTAATATCTGGTCTTTCTGAACCGCGAATCAATTCCCTCCTCGCGCATCTTCACATCGAAACCTTAGCCTCAGATTCAGCCTCGCAGAGCTCAAAATAAGCTATTAAATCTCTCCACAAGCCCGCAAGAGGTATGCGACCAGGTCATGAATCGCATCAAGACAAACCCTGCTTCGAAGCGGATTCTAACTATCCACGCATTGTCTTGGCTTGTTTACGCGAAAAGAGCTCTAACGGCTAGGAATGAACTTCTACACAACGTCGCGATTTGCAGTGCCCCTCCAGCTCCGTTCCCTGAAAATAAGCCAAAGCAATGCATCCTCCCTACATATGTCTTCCAAAAGTGCACCGAAAACGTCCTTTTGTCAGCTTATATCGGCCTCATTGTTGATCTTTCGGGTGGAACAACACCAAAAGGCACTGTCCGATTGGTTCATGCCCCTGCGGCGAAATTTCTCCTGAATAAAGCCTTGTGGAAGGAGTTGGACGCGCCATGGTTAACGCAACACACCAAGTGGCCCAATTCGAGGATAGACTTTGGCTCAGCAATGAACCAGTTCATGATCATGACTCTATCCTATTCGATGAACGGACTTAGAATTGTCTTGAAATGGAGCCATGGCCCAAAGTACTCTGCCGGGTTCTCATTGCCGTTCAACTTATGAGGCATCTTTCAAAAGACTCAAAGCCTGTTTTCATCTTCACATTCAACCTGTGGTTCCTCTGCCTCATCAAGAAGATTTTCCACAGCCTCGAAGTGAGAAAGACCAAAGGGAGGATGTAACTTTACGGTGTCGCCTGCTGGTTCTCGTTCTATCTTGATGCATTGGTCGACGATCCGGCGGAACTGGGAATTAATGCCCGCCTGTAAGCCCATGTGTACTTAGAGTTACAAATTCTGTCAGCCAAAAGGGGTGAGTGACCGTGAATTGAACAGAGTAATAGACCTGGTTGGTATGAATCCCGCAGACCAATTACTCAATGATAATGTTTCGTTCGATTTACGAAAGATGCGTTCGGATCAAGGCCCTGAGTGGAGTTTGCAATAAATTGCAGTCTAAATGATATGGATGATGTGATCGTCTGCCACTCGAGCTCGAATGGGCGAGGGGTCGGCGAGGGATAACCGGGTCAACTCTCCAGCTTTCCCCGGAATTTGGCGGACCTTCATTGAGAAGATATGCGGTGAGGCGTACGCTGAATAGGCCGAAACGCTGAATGATCAACGCTGTAATTAAATGCAAGGGTGGTCTTTGATTGGATCACAACTGAGTTTGAAGTAGAGTTGATCGACGTTGAATTTACTTGCGTATATATCATTCTTACACCCAGACTGCAGAGAATATTTGATAATTAATGTTTACTAGAACTACCTTATGGGTTCTATCGCAGATCAAGTCTGTATTTGGATTGATCTCTATTTTCACTTCCCAACAGCGCGTGTTGGGCATCGAGCTCCGTAACGGTGTAATGATGAACTCCCGTAGCAGCCATCTCGGGCTTTGGCACCTCTGCCCACATTTCATGCTTTGGTATGGGTCCACCGTACAATTCCAGTTGTGGCACATCCGAATGCAGCTCCCCTGGGGCCAGAGGGTGGTAGTAAGCCTGTGTGTATGATCCATCGCTTCTTGCATGGTCAGGAGCAAGCGGAATAATAGCTCCCTCAGTTTTCTTATGCTTTCTACGTCGAATGAAGCAGAATAGAGCAATACCAATGAACCCGCCAACAACGGCTCCAACAACGGCCCCGACAATGGCAGCTATTGGAAGAGACCCTTTGGAATCTTTCTTCTCTGATGGATCTTGGCTGGTTCCTCCCGTAATGGTCGAGTTGGATTTTCTGAAAAGAGCCTGAATTTCGTTGGATGACCATTGAACAGAGCTGACCCCACTAGATTCACATTAGCACCTTCGATTATGCCCTCAAGCAAAGATAGCGTGTTCCTTACGTTGCCTGGTACCACTCGTTAACTGTTTTTGCGCTTTCGTACTCTTTTGCCCCTGCATCATAGTCGGTCTTCCAGGTCCAGTCCGTCATATCAAAGAGGCCCAGCCCTTGTGGCCAGGGGTCGGCACTTGAATATCCCGTCTTTCCATCCACTCCTCCAACTGACAGCATTTGACGGCGGCCGACTACTGCACAGCAATGGCTCCTCCTCGGGTTTTTCGATTCATACGGCACTTGAGTCCAAAAGAAGCCCGGAAGGCTTAGCACAAAGACGTCGTCGTAAGTTGAGCCGGATTCAGTGTTGGTACCGCCGAACACAAAGCTAATGATTCATTAGGATCACGGAAAAGGGATCTGGTGCCGATATGTATGCGCTCACATTTCGTAGGTTCCGTTGTTGCCTTCCACTCCAACACTGCACAAATTTCTGCGTGGAGTAGGCGCGTTCCCAGTTGTCTTCTGCCAGTACCAGTCTTTCGTCACTGGATCCATGAAGGTCAAGTTGCTGAAATCTTGCCACCCGATGGGTTTCTTCTGATCAGGTTCGAGGCCCCATGTCGCGCCGCCCATTATCGTGATAAGACCGTTTGGACCGAAAGTAGGGATGTATATCGCAGCGCCCCCTGTCAATGTGCCGTATTTAGAGAACGCGTCGCTCGTCTCGTTAGTCCAGGACTTGGTGGTCATGTTGTAGGAGAGAATGCCGGGAACAGGCTGCGAGTAAGGGTTCGAGGTCGTCCAGCCCGAGGATTGTCCTCCGAACCAGAATCCGGCGTCAGTGGTGCTAGCAAATGCACCGTCTTCATTCCGTCGCAGTTCCTGAAATAGAGTGGGATTCGCTGGCGTCTCCTTTGACCAAAGGCCACCTCCTTTGCCGTCCGCTTCAAACTTCCAGGACGTTGGCTCATCTATTGCGTCGCCATATGGTCTGTGTCCACCCCAAATCCAGAATGTGTTGGTCGCTTCATTTATCCATAGCGCCTGAAGGTCCGTAGCTTTCGGCTCTTTGGGTAGCTCCCTGATTCTAACGTTGGATGCGGACCATGATGTGGACAAGTCGATCGATAAGGTTGAGTTGACTGTTATTTACCCCGTATGAGAAGATATGGAAATAGATTGCCGCGTCGTTGGAGTGACTGACCTCCGTTGGAGCTTCGCGGCCCTATAGGATTGCCTCTCGCGTCGAGCTGAGAGACCTCGCCGCCGTCGATGTAGGCATAGCCGCCGAGTACCGCGACTGAAGAGTGAATACATCAGCTGAGGTCTATTGTCTGGCGGTCAATGGGGTCTACCTCTTGCTTGTGTTCGACGTAGGAAGATCTCCGGCGAAGGTGCATCTGATAATTCCCAGGCACGTTTCGATTGGGCGTTTGCGAAGCCGGAAAGCTGGAGCACAAGGCCCACCAAAGCTCCCTCTACCAACGACGTGGCGATCATCTTTTTGCAAAACGCAAGAGAAAACAAGCAGCAGTGAACCGTTTAATGCACAGAAATTGACAAAGCGAAGGAGAGTGCGAGGACAAAGAGCAATACGTAGTCAAGTCTCAGCCATCGAACTCAATGTCCGAGGGAAGGGCCCAAAAAGAAATAGAGATAGGGAGGGGTCGGAACGTTGCCTTCGCATGCTTCGGTTGAGGCTGATGCTGCCGAAATTGACATCAAACTAAACCATGCTGAAAGCCTGCAGACTTAAGACGCTCAAATAGAGACGATAAGCCAAACTGCCCTGCTAGTGGATGAGAGGGTATCCCAATAGCGCGAGAAGGATCATTAGCGCCCTTAGCATGCTGACGACTTTCTGAACCCCTGTCCTGTCTGGTGTTCACCCGAGCCTAATAACGGTGTCTGACAGTCCTTCAACTGCCTGTCTGAGGCCACAGCCTACTTGAAAGAAGGGGCCAAGCCCGCGTCAGACTGAATGCACGTACTACCTAGGCTGACCCGGTGCTGGCTCCCATCCAAACCTCGAGTTTAACGACCAAAGAGTTTCGCGATCAAGTCCTTATAACCCAGCGGCGGCTGGAGATTGGCATCGATCACCCTGGAGGTTTCTGTGGACCGATCACATAGGCAACAGCTTATTCGATTTAAAGTGTAAGAAGCCACGCTCCATCGGAGATCCTGACCGACAGTGGGCCAAAGTATCCTGCGGGAATACGAGTAGCGTGATCATCATCCTTGTAACATGGTCCTTGGATGAATTGGGGGTTGGTTCAGTGGCTGTGCAGGACGCTCCTAATCCTGATACCTTCCCATCTTCCAGATGATTTGTTGGTTCGGCTCAGACAATGGAAAAACAGGGGTACGATACAAACAATGCTGTCTCCCACTTCGTCGTAGTCAACTTCTTCACAGTCTCACTCGCATACCACAAATCCGATGAAGTGATGCGAAATAGTTCACTGAACAGCCTCCATGATCTGACATGAGCTGAAATGCACGCATCAAACAGCATCAGTTGTTTACATTTGCCGCGTTTGATGTCGCAGGATTTATGTTTCCGTCGAGAAATAGAAGGGCCATTGTGTTGGACCAGGATGTTCTAGATCAGTCGCAAAAGACACTATTGAATCTGGGTTTACCGATAGTGGCAGGGAATTCATTGTACTATATTTACATTATAAGTAGTTGAAGACTTCAGCACACTACAGGGCTTCAGTGTTTTATCAAAACTGAACTCTCGCTACCCGTCCATCAACGAAAGTCGTGAATTTTATCGTAAATTCATTTCCCGCAAGCAAAGTCCATGAGATGGTTGGCGCAGAGATTGAGAAAGGCGCACCTGAGTCAGAGCTGTCAGGGACCGACAAGAGTGCGCTTCAACTAAAAGCTCATGGTACGACAACAGAGAAGCAGTCAAAGAAAGATGCCCAAGGTCCAGAAGACACTTCCACACACAAGTACGTTTCGTTCCCCCCATTCCCAGGCGAAACCTGCGGCGTGGCTTTGGAGGTCAGTCAAGGGGAACAGTTGTCCGTGGAGGCAGGAGCACATGAACAAGAGTCTCCCAACCCACCGAATCAGCGGCCGCGCAAGGCGTCATCTTTCTGGTCATGGAGATGAGTTATTTTCATAGATAAATCCAACAGATTGAAACAAGAGAACTACGCCGGAAAAAAATTGCACCTTAGATCATCCTCACTTGTTCCTTCGGGGAAAGGTATTCGAGGCGTCCTAAATGAAGGTACAGGTGTGCTCGTCGCGCCAACTGGATCTGGCAAACACATCGCCGACCAAACTATTATACTAGGTTGGCTTTTAATCAGACACCTAAGCCTGGGCTTCAACGGGCATCTCGGTTGTTCGTTCTCTTCGGAAGCCAGTTGCCTTTTTAGACGCAACCAGGGGAAACTCAGTGGTTCTATGGAATAACTATCTACACAAGGCACTGACAGCACGCAGAAAAAATAGCTGCTCAAAATCATTTCAGCCTAGGCAAGTCAGTAACTTGATGGGGCCATGTTTTTGGTGCGAAGTCTTTGTGCTTGGCCGTGGTGAACTCTGCCCAAGCCTAACCCTTGAGCCGCAGAGCAGGACGCGAGCCGTACCACAATTAAGTCTTGCAGTGATCATTGAAGCCGCGGTAAATTCTTTCCCATTCAAAAAGGACCCCTTTATGACGAGGATTCAGGTAGGTCAGCCCGAATCTCAGCCAGGGAAGAGTCAGAAGACGAAGGAAGTATGGAAGCAAACGCAGCGGATGGATGCTGGACTTGACCACGTTCTTACGTTGAAATGGAATGGTAACAGGCTTTCTGATGTATCAATTTTTACGTGCACTGAGCTTAATCCGTTGCTGTGTAACTAGGTCGACATCGCCGCTAACTTCTTTGTTTTTCACAACGTTGAAGAGCAATTATCAACCTGCGGTTGGCTTTTACGGCTGCAGTACAGCTGCTAAGGTAGTTGTGAAAATATATCTAGCCCATTCAATTCAATGTCTACAGACGAGAGAAAACCTCTTTGCCCGCATTGCGGACCCTGACAGTAGCTTTGTTGCGTCAATGCAAATATGATTGGATCATCACCTCAGCAAGTAATGGAATCTTCGACACAGGAAGCAGTAATCTCTGAGTTCCTCAGCTCAACAGCCGCCTCTGCCATGACAGATTAGCAAGATGTAATGCTAGAAGCGGCCAGGATTATAGCGTCATCGGTGCCTTCGGCAATGCGGAATCGACTTCGTTCAACGTCAATCGCTCTCCTTTCGAGGCCACATATGCGAATGGTGTTGAAATACAGCGAACTTTTATCTCAGAATCAGTCACATTCGGAAACACAACTGTTTCCAATAATACGATGGGCTTCGGCCTGTGAGCTGAACTCACCTCTGATTGCCATCCTTGATGTCGGCCAGACGCAAAACTTTGCTGATACGGATGGGGGCTTCCAGCGGAAGCGTTGTGTGGGCGGGATGGAGACGGCAAAGTTCACAGGTCCGATGTAAATGGTCCCTCTAGTTGGACAAAAGTTGTTCAACACGGACGGCTTTATCGCAACTGGACCTCCTAGTGTTTTTCTGATAACCAAAATGCCACACTCAGCGCAATTAGCGGGAATAGCTTACCGCCATTTCTCATTGACACGAGCAACCCTTCCTTGTCTTTCCCCCGAAAGATCATGAAACAGATCGAGCCAGCCATCAACATCAAGACATTGCAGGATGAAAAAAAGGTTTGAGAAGCAGCAGCGGCAACTCAGTTGCGAAATTCGGCTCTATTTCCAGACTGCCAAGGTCGAGATTCCTCCATCGATGATCGTCACCCCGCTAGTGAAGAATTGCGCTGCAGTCACCGACGAGGACGGAAGTGCACTGTGTATCCTGCTGTCGGAACTTATTGACAGCGATGTAGCATCACTCGGTGCCCCTCCGCTCTCGGCGGTGTATGCGGTCTTTGATCTCGAGAACAGTCGATTTGGGATGATGGCACAGGCAGAAGTCAACGAGTCTGAGACAACATGTAGCATTGAGGACATTGGGCCAGCTGAGCCATTAAAGGAAGCATGCGCTTTCGCCATCACCGATTTTGGATTGATTGTGTCTTGATCCATTGCATCTTGATCAATCGACTTGCTTACTGGCTGTTACAGGTTGAGCTCTATCTACGTATTTCATGTCTCACTGGCATTAAAGCAGAGACATGTCAGACTACGGCTGTAGCACTTGCAGGGCATTGCAGGGCAAGATGACCTGCTATACGAATCTACTTATGAACGTGTCTCAATAGAAATATATCAAATTCCGAAGAACATTTGTAACGTCTCTTAGCTTTTTATAGACAACAAGTTTGTGTCGAGGTCGTTGACATCACAGATGTCGGTGAGCCACGTAGAACCAACAACCTTGGGAAAAAAACAGGGAAAGTTCGTCGTAGGTTCCCTCGACCCAGAAAAATCACGCATTGACTGGCCGTGCTTGCGCGATAACTTATCAGGCTTCTCCATAATAGTGTTTAAATCCACCGATAAATACGGAGTTGTTGTCTTGCAGCTCCTTGCACCACCAAATGGGAGCTTGGCCTCGGGAACCACTCGCACTAGTGAGCGGGTACGCAATGCAACATGTAGATCAGCTTGATACGGGATGCAGAGACAACCGTGCTGCCGTCTGGCTGTGGGTGGATCGATCAGCAGGAAACAAAACACAACACACCTCGTCCGAAAACATCGTCATCTCAGCCTAGGAATCTCGTCAGTTCGTTTTCTTCTCCTCATCAAGAACCCGTTCTTCTACCTCAACCATACCATCCATAAGTACCCGCCGCTGTCAAACAATATATCGGCAGGTCCGTCTCGATAACAGATCAGACCGCTTCCCACACAACCCAACAACATAGGCGTGACAAACCATGTCTCCAGCTTCATCAATCCACGATCCAGGCGAAAGCCAGCCGCTTCTCTCAGGGCATCGGCGACGCACCGGCACGTTTCAACTGCCCTCATTCAGTGGCCAGCGGCTCGTATCGCCTCTATCGATGCGACGTGCCTCGCTGCAAGAAGTTCACCCACACCACGAAGACGTGGAACCGGTTCTGCCGGCCGCACCAGTCGCTGCGCATCAAGAGACACGACTGCACAAGCCACAGTGGGCGCTCAGCGACAGACCGCCAAACACCTGGGCCCAGATCCGTCATTACTGGCGCGAGGAGTTCGCGTAAGTACTGGAGTATCTCACACCTATGCATCACTGCATATGGTTCACCGCCGGAGGTTTCCCGCCGGAATCCCTGACGGCAATGAAGCGCTTGGAATGAACCAGAAGCTGACCGCATAACTATAGAGAATTCTGGGGCACGTTTATGATTCTGCTCTTCGGAGCAGGCGTTGAATGCGAGACACGTCTCAACTACCAATCCCCCGACATCCGCGAGAACGCCGGAGACTTTTTGCAATGCCGCCTGGCCTGGGCAGCAGGCGTAGCCATGGCGGTATGGATGTCCGGCGGCGTATCAGGCGGACACTGCAACCCGACGGTGACAGTCGTCCTCGCCCTCTTCCGTGGCTTCCCCTGGCGTAAAGTGCCCAGCTTTTTAGCTGCGCAGGTCCTGGGTGCGACCCTCGCCAGTCTTGCCGTCTACCTCAACTATGCTACGAGCATCGCGGCATATGAGGGCGGCGCCGCCCGTACTCTGGTCGGCGAGCACGCCACTGCCGGTCTCTTCTTCACGTTCCCCGCCGCCAGACTTCCCTACGCCGGTGCCTTTTACACCGAGTTCCTCGCCTCGGCCGCGCTGGTTGCTATAGTGTTTGCTCTGGCCGACAAGAACAACCTGTCGCCGCCCAAGGGTACGCAGCCCTTTGCCATGTTTTTGGCTCTGTTGGCCATCGGCTCCGCGTTGGGCATCAACACTGGGTATGCCATGAACGGGGCCAGAGACACCGGCCCGCGTATCGCGTTGGCTATCGTCGGCTACGGCTCAGAGGTCTTCACTCATGACTATTATTACTGGCTCTGGGCGCCTTGGGTTGCGGCTATTGTTGGTGGTATAGTGGGTGCTTGCGTGTATGATGGCTTCATCTACACCGGGCGTGACTCTCCTTTCAACATCCCAAGAAAGGAGGATGATTGAAATCCTTGGTAAGGGGGTTGATTCTGACGATACGAGAAATAGAGTGGGTAGCATCAGATTGTCAGGAAGACCGTCTGACACATAGATCTGGACTGCATACCTTGGTTGACGACTTACTGCCGTCAATAGTAGGCTTGTGGTTGTCTGCTGATAGACCAGTAGATAGACATGAGCGGAGCGTTTTAGGAACTGTCATGAGGATATGTACGATAGCCATCGACTAATTCCGATCGAGGGTCCTACATGTACCAATTACAAATTTCTTCCTGATGTGTGACATCGACGCATCAGCTTCTCAGAAGAATGAGAGTCGTCCGGACTTCACTCCACACATTCAAGAGCCTTTTCATCTCCACCCGAGTACGCAAAATTCGGATTCTTGTGAGATGCAGGCCGAGAGTATCCGTGAAGATTACGTTTCAAGTGGAACTGAATACCGAGCAATGTATATCCTACAGAATCATTTAGATTCTCATGCATTTTATCTGGGGGCATTGTTCTGTGGGTGTTAATGGTGTCTTTTGTTTAGCAAAGGGTTATTGCTAGCTTCTATGCGGAAGTAGCGTTATACCCCGCAATATTTCAATAGTTCCTGCAGGCAAAGCATGAGCTAGCCGAGCAGGAATGAAACATTGGGTTCTCTAATATAAGTAGGCCACGTTTGTGGCACTTCGTTGTTCACTCGACCTCGAGCCTCTTAGATCTTTTTGATGCGCCGCGTGGGCTTCTGTCGCGAAAAGAGCCTTGTGCCACGACAGGTTTAGTCCCCCAAAACACTACATATATATCTAAGCGAAGTCATGAGCTGCTCAGCCTCCATGAAACGCCCAGGGCGGAAGTTGCTCGCCATTTGAAACGGAAGCTCCTATAAATTGGCTTTAGTTATCGCCGTCACACCGTGATTACGTAGGAATAGTGAATCCAGAACTGCTCAGCAGCAATTAGGCCTGATCATGACAGTTCATACTCTCATGGTGCGGCGCTCAGGAGCCAAAAAGCTGTCAAAAGCCGATCACGGAGAGTAAATTACTGCGACATCCCCGATCGGACCGTCAACGGTCAGGCTGGGTTAGATGTTATACGGGAATCAAGCATCGCAAACCTCGAAAGGCCCATGCCAAATAGAGTCATGAAGTTCATAAGATTATTGAGTCTAATACCCTTTTTAAAAAGAACATGAAGTGGAAAATGACACAGAGAGCGGCGCTGTAGACTAGACATTCCAGCTCAAATGGCACTTCAGATCATTGATTTGGTACCGAGTTTTTCGAAACGGTTGAAATAATACTTTCCAACATGCGCGTAACCTGCTTCAGCCTGATTTTGCTTTCAACTCGAAACTGATACTTGGGGAAAAGGATATCGTATCCGTGATTGACTCAAGCTTATGTAAGAAGCAAAGTCTTCGTCCTTCCAACGAACAGCGAAGGCAACGAATTTTGGCTGGAGCGAAGCTTCCGGGGTCATCTCGCTTAACGGCTGTGCCGCAGGTTGGGCAAGAGGGGCCTTTTTTGAAATTTTGGTTACTTCGATATTCAGAGAGGTCTCATCAGTAGTATTGTATGAAAGTGATTTAGCCCTGATATTGCGTCCGAAACCCGGTTTCTTACGTCGAACCGATACGATTAGTAACGAGTCGCAAAGGATTTTGATACCGCTGAGCCACCAAAGGCATTCATACTGAGCTAGCAATACGACGCAACGAGGCATTTAGAACCAACACCCTGTGGTGTTGGGATCTTTAGTGCGGCACAGCGGCTAGCAGCGCGACCAAACAAGGGTCCTTCGCCCGGTCTGCGTCTCTTTTAGCTAGACTCCGCGATAAGTAAGAGTGGCTTGATCGTTGCCAAGCTTTTGGCTTCTATTTATTCTTTAATTTTCATGCTTAAATTTGCAGCTTAAAAAGACACTAATATCCTGCTCCCCTCTTGGCAAAGCTTGATCCGCTCTTCTCGGTAACTCCGCGGTCTTCTTTCAGACACTCTCACAGCAACCCAGAGAGTGGTGACGATTCCACGCACAAGTCGCCCAGCATGCCGTCCGCCACTTCCACGCAGCTTTCTCAATATGTGTTCTCCAACCTTGGGCCTATGACCACTGTTTGGACGCCGCCAGCATCATGTGCCACGCCGTCGCCTCAGCTCTACCTCGCATTCAACGACTCTGCCACTATATATCCCCAATGGCTTCAAAAATGCGAAACCCGCGATTATGGAGACTGCTACCCTTCCGGCAAGGCCATTGACTCCGCAGGGTCTGCGGCCTCCAGCGCCAACGACCTCGCCAACGCAGGGACCATCTACTACTTTTCACCAGCAAGCGCTTGCCCACAGGGTTACACGACCGTCGGCGTGGCCGCCAAGAACGGTGCTGGAGATGTCAGCTCGTCTGGTGCGTTCGTGCCTCCGGTCGTCACCGACCCTGCGCTCGCGGCTAGTCTCCTGCCATGGAACCCGCCAAACAATGTCTTGATGGAGGCCCTTGAGGGCGGGGAGACGGCTGTTGTATGCTGCCCCGAGTAAGTGCTCTCTTCTCTATGATTAGAAGAGCCGTCTTGATCATCTAACATTGAGCCAAGGGGTTACACAGCAGATGAAGCAGGCGGTGCCACGTGCTACTCGGAAGTGCCTTCGTCACTCTTTGGAGATCCGATGACAGGGTGTAAATACACGCGAACGGTCACCGGAGACCGTTCTTACACATTTGCGAACGCCACATTCACTTACAACAACACGCTTGTTACCGCCGAGGTTGCTACTTACACTGGAACCTATTCGGAGCCTAGCTACTCTACTGTCACAAAGACTATTGACAGTGACGTTGCGGACTTGTACATCCCTGTCGCAGCAAGAGACGCTGTTACGTTGGTGTTCAGAGCTGCTGATGTTACGGGTAGTACGACAGGCAGTGGCGCGGCCGGTCCGACACAGACAGGCTCTAGCAGTGCCGCTGGTTTGAGAGTCATGACCTCTGGTGGAAGAATGGGAATGGTTGCCGCTGCTTGGACATTCGCTGCCATTGTGGGCGTGATGTTAGGCATGCCACAGTGAGGTGCTAGTAGATTGTTGATGTGGCCCATGTGCAGATACCGCCGATGATGTACGATAGCCATGCAAGAATTGTGTATAAATATTATGACGCATCTCTTCATTTTCAACAATACCGTTATGCTGTGTCTATGCTATTCTATAAGCCGAGGAGCTGATTAAGGTCAACAATGCTAATTCTGACCTGATTGGTGCTGCTAGGCTTGGGCTGGTCAGAGTCGAACATTAAGGAGAGGTCGAATCGCTCGGGAAGATCGAGGATAGCATATCAAATACTAATAAACAGTTAAAATTATAAAATCGACCTCAATAAGTTATAAATATTATAAAAAATAATAACTAAAAATAATTAAATAAATTTTATTAAAACTATTTTTTTATAATTAAAAAGTTAATATAAAGATTATATTTATAAAAATATCTATTTTAAAAGCTTAATTATTAATATAAATAATTTAAAAGAAACGTTTTATTAAATATAAATCTTATATTAATAACGGACTTTTCAATAAGTTCGATATTTTAAATAATTTAATATCTTTATAATTATAATTAATTAAATTCTTAATATTTAAAATTCTTTAAATTAAATTAGATAATTAATTAATTATCTTTTTTAATATAGACTTAATAAAGGAGGTATTATATTAATAGGGTATTAAATTTAGTATAATAACGTTATATTTAGTAAATAGTTTAAAATAGGCTTAGTATTCCGTATTTATCCTTATTATATAAAGTTAACAGTTGAGTAAATTAAATAAAATTATATATAACGTAATTAATTTATTTATATAAATATTTTCTATAAAAAATAAAAAGACCCTCGAATCTTTGGGTTAAGCTAAGTTAATTAACTTTATATAGTATTTATAACGATTAATTAATAGTTTATAAAATAACTTGATTTTTAAATATAAAAAAGGGTTTTGTTTATTTATATAATTAATTATTTAAGACTTATTAAAGTATATAAAAAAAGTTCTAAGGCCTTTTAATAAGAGTTAACTATTATAAATAAGAAAAGTCGATATAAAGATTTAAAATTACTACGTATATCGGTAATAAGAGCCGTAATTCTATGGATTTAGTCCGAGAATAAATTATTAAGTGCTATAACGGATTCTCTAATTATTGGTTTACATAATCATAAGGTGATTTATTTAATCGAACCGTAGTGACGAAGAGTTAATTACTTTTATATTAATCTCTACGTAAAATAAAAAAGAGAGGTTTTAATTATTAATTAGATCGCTAGTTAAACGCTAATATAAAGACCTTTAAATAGCCCCTACGCTAACGCTAATTTTAAATCGAATTAAACTTTTAATTCGATATTAATTATTTCTTTTTTATTATTAATTTTATATAATTAAAAAAAATAATCTGATAATCTTATAATAACGTATAATACGTTAAAAAATAATAATATTTATAATTTCTTTTCTATTTTTTTAAGCCTTCTTTATATAACTTATCTTTTATACGTACTATAGTCGTTTTATTATTAATAAATCGTTTTGAACTTAGGTTTAGGTTTTATTTAAAAAAGGTATTTATTAAATTATTTTTATTATTAATTTAATAAATTTTAAAATTTTTATATCGTTTATACAATTATTATAAAGTTATAATATTTATTATTAACTTTTTTTTAATAATACTTAGTTTAATAAAGTATTTATATAATAAATAAAAGTTTATATAAATAATTGTTAATATTATAAATAAAATTAATTAATCTGTAATCTATTTAAATATAGTATAAGTCGCGTATATAAGATTAATATTATTAACTATTTTATAGATTTTAAAAGTTAAAACGTTTTTAATTATTTTTTTATTTTTAATTAATAAATAATAAATAATATTATTATAAATCGTAAATTGATTGTTTTTTATAACTTTATTTATTAAAATAATAATAATATTTAAATTAAGAAGTTAAATTTATATTATTTATAAAGGATTTATTAATAAAAATATAAAGCTTAATAGAGGTTAAATTTAATAAAGAATAAATTAGCGGGCGATTTAAATTTATTATTTATTAGCTTAGCCGTTTATTTAGTATAGTTATATTTTTTAATTAAATTTTTAGTTTATATTATTTTTATAATATTGAACGTTATTTTAAATTAATATATATTAATAATATACGATTTTTTTATTTATTCTTTTAATATATTTTTTATTAATTACGTATTATATAATTAACGAAAATAATCTTTTTATTTTACTTTTTTTAATAAAAAACGATAGTATTATTTTTAATTATAAAGATCTTTTTATTAAACGTTAATAAATAGTTAATAATAAAAATATTTTTTAATTTAATAATTAATCCGGCCTTTTTAAGCTTTTTATTTTTTTTTATTTTTTTTTATATAAATTTAATATTAAATACGCTTAGTGTATCGTTAGTTTATATATTAATGATTTTATAAAGTCTTTTTAAGTAATTAAAGATTAGTAAATATAGATTATAAGTTAATATAATTATACTTAGCTATTTAATATAAAAATCGTAATTAGTCGCTTATTAATAAGTGTTAGTTTACGTAATCACAGGGTGATTTGTTCGATCGAACCGTGGTGACGAAGGGTCAATTACTCTTGTATTAATCTCTGCGTGAAGTGGAAAAGAGAGGTTTTAACCGTTAGTTGAATCGCCGGTTAAACGCTAATATAAAGACCCTTAGATGGCCCCTACGCTAGCGCTAACTCGAGGTCGAATTAAGCTTCTAATCCGATACTAATTATTTCTTTTTTATCATTAATCTCGTACGATTAAAAAGGCAATTTAATAATCTCGTAATAGTATATAATACGCTAATAAAAGTAATATTTATAATCCCTTTTCCGCTTCCTTTTTAAGCCCTTTCTGTATAACCTATCCTTTTATACGTATTATAATCGTTCTATTATTAATAAATCGTTTTAAACCTAAGTTTAGGTTCTATTTAATAAAAGCGTTTATTAAATTATTTTTGCTATTAATCTAACGGATCTTAAGAATCTTATATCGCTCGTACGATTACTATAAGGCTATAATATCTATTATTAACCTCTTCTCTTTAATAATGCTTAACTTAACAAAGCACTTATATAGTAAATAAGAATCCGTATAAACGATCGTTAATATCATAAATAAAGTTAATCGATCTATAATCCGTTTAAGTATAGTAGAGATTACGTAGGCGAAGTCGACGCCGTTAATTATCTTATAAACCTCTAAGGCTAAAACGCTTCTAATTACTCTTTTACTTTTAATTAATAAATAATAAACGATATTACTATATATCGTAAATTCGTCGTCTCTTATAGCCTCGTTTGTTAAGATAATAATTTATCTAAATTAAAAAGTTAGATTTATATTATTTACGAACGATCCGTCGACGAAGATATAAAGCTTAATAAAGGTTAAATCTAGCGGATAATAAGTCAGCCCGCGATTTAAATTTATTACCTACTAGCTTAGCTATTTATTTAGCGCGGTAACGTTTTTTTTAGTTAGATCTATAGCTTACGCTACTTTTATAATATCGAACGTTACTTTTAGTTAATAAATATTAATAATATACGATCCTTTTACTTACTCTACCCGATATCTCTTTTACTAATTACGTAATATAAAGCTAATAAAGGTAATCTTTTTTTTTTACCTTTTTTAATAAAAAACGACGGTATTACCTTTAATTATAAAGATCCCGCCGTTAAACGTTAATAGGTAGTTAATAATAAAGATCTCCTTCGGTTTAGTAATAAATCCGGCCTTTTTAAACTTTTTATTTTCTTTCCGTATAAATTCGATATTAAATACGCCTAACGTATTATCGGTTTATATATTAACGATCTTATAAAGTCTTTTTAAATAATTAGAGATTAGTAAATATAAATCGTAAATTAACGTAATTATATTTAGCTATTTAATATAAAAATCGTAATAGGTCGCCTATTAATAGGTTCCTAATTCTATTAGCCTATATAATAATTTAAGTATTTTGATAATCGTGCCCTCTAAATACTTACTAATCATCTTTTTTAAAAAGTAGGCAAGGATCTTCCGTATTAAACTAATAGCGGATTACGTATACGCTTACGTAATATCCCTACTCTATACGTAATATCCGTCTCTAATAAAGGAAAGGATTAAAGCTAGTATTAACCGTTAGCTACTTTTTTAAACCGTCGGCGATTACGTAAATAATTCTACTTTTTTAACGTCGCTATATCCTTAAATTACGTAACAAGATTTCTTATACGGCGCGTTAGTTCCCTTACTTTTAATCTCTTAAACTATACGTAACTTAAAAATCTGTAAATTAACGTATTTATTTAAATTATATAAAACGAAACGATATACGCCTCGATCTCGTAAGGTTTTTATTTCGATAATATCTAAGGCCTCGTAGGGCTTGCCCTCTACGGTAATAATCCCTTTCTTTTATAATTTAAAAACTAATTCGAAGTCTATTTTCTCCTTAGCTAAATAAAAGATATTAATATAATCGTCGATTAATTTATTATAATTAAAAAGCTACGGAATTAAGTTTTTCTAAAGCCGACTTCGCCGCCGTTACGGCGGATTTAATAATTAATTATTTAATTTATTAATTATAACGATCTTATTAAGAACGATCTTTGATTAGTCGATCTAGTCTTCGCCTTTTTAGATAAGAGGTGACTATTCGACCTCCCTTAGCTCTTCTCTTTTTTCTTTATAAATTATCTTTTTATTTACTTAGTTATACGGTCGGATCGCTATTATTACGACCTTAAGTAGTTAATTTTAATCTCTTACGATTATATAAGAGCGCTTATTAATAAAAATTAATTTATATAGTCCGGTCTACTTATTTACGATATCTCTCTAGACTTATATATTTAAGTTTAATAAGATATTAAGATTTTATAATATATCGGGCCCGTTACGTACCGCTAAGGCTTTATTAACTTATTTTTTTACCTTTAGATCCTATAAAACTCGTATTACCTTTTTA